ATAATTGACTTTGTAAAAAGAACATTACAATGTGTCTTCCAAATCAATTAAACTTAATGTTAACATTTTTTAAACCAAAACAAAATAGAGCTTTAATATGCATTGAGAAATCGGTTCTAAACGTTTTTTTTTTAAAGTAATCACTGGGTCTAAGTAGGTAATGTAAAATCTGAATCACTTATTGTCAGGTTATACAACCACAGTTTTTTAATTAGTTGATCTACTTACTGCTCTTCCGGATTGCCATTAGCTGTTGCAGCCTTAAAAGTAGTCTCTCCCTCTAGAAGAGTCTGGTCAAGCTGAATCTTTTTGGTCAGGCGCTGCCACACATCCTTCCAATATTGCACATTCCTTAGAACAACATTCTCTTCATCCTAACATTAAAATCCAATTATAACTCCAAGAGCAATAGAACTTTAGATTGACTCACCCAAGATGGCTTAACGGATATGGTGATGAATCTCTTGACGGGCAGCTTAAGATTCATGACCTCAGCCAGTCGTGTTTCCAACCGCCAGGGCAGATGGATCTTCAGAAAGAAGGTCTTCTCGTTGAAGGACTGCGACTTGTCCTCCAGCTCGACCTCGAGTCCCTCCTTGATGAGGTTCTCCATGAAGCAGCGTCGGTTGTCGCGACGCTTTGCCTCCGCCTCGGTCATGACGCCCAGGTCCTCCTCCTCCCAGGCCAGCACCATGTCCACTTTCCGCCTGCCATCACGGAACATCAGCGATTCCGGATCCAAGCCCTCCCGATCCTGCTTGCTGACCCTCCGCTCGTCTGCGGATTCTCCACCCAAGCTGTTGCTTTTGCTGGCCTTTCGACTGCCATAGTAACTTCCGCTCACGGAACTCGTGCTATCCGAGGCCTTCCGTTCCGTGGGAATAAGTTGCCGATAGCCAAATTGGTCGGGCAAAACGTTGGAGTGCGAGGACTCCATAATCTCATATGACTGATTTACCCTTTCACCGGAGCCCAGTGTGGGACTCAAGTTTAGACCCAGGTTGCGCCGCATGGCCGTGCCAGGAATATCTTCCTCATTACTGCCCACAATCTTGGGACCAAATGCCTGCGTGGGACTTGGTTCTGCCGACTCGGATTCCAGATGGGTGGGCAGTGGCACTGCAATCGAGTTGGACTTGGGGAACAGGGGATTGCCATTGCTAGTCCGCATCACCGAGGAGTTGAGCCACTTTTCCGTGTAGGCAGCCGATCCAGCTCGAGCCCGGTTGGCACTCAGTTTGGATTTTGGCGGAATCGGAGTGGCGGGCTTGATGTTTCCCACCGCAACATTATCGTTCCCTTGGCAGCTGTATAAGCTATCTGGCGGATCCGTTTCGATTGGATGCCTTGACTGAAGGTTGGAGTCAATAAAGGTACCCTCCTGTAAATATAAGTTTCGCAGTTAGTAATATAATCTGTTGTTTGAAGTACAAATTGAGCTCACCCCGTATCCTATCAATCTTCCCGCCACAATGCCGCTATCCTGGCTAAGTCTTCGTGGTCGCACCTTCGTCTGGCTCCGGCGGCTCATGCGCTCGCTCTTGGCCGGACTGGACATCACCTGCCTCCTGGTGGAGGGATCTGGGGATTGGCGCGGGCTTCGCAGCGTTGGCACCGAAAGGAATCCTGGAGGGAGAAATTAAATAATTTACTCAAGTAATTATACAGATAAATTAAAATACTCTCGCTACTATATTATTAGCTAATTAAAGCATAAAACGTAAAGCCTCATGAATTTTATGTGTATCGTGACTTTTTAAATAAGTAGTTATACATAATAAACAAAAACAAAGAAGTCAATTACATATTTATGTCTATAAGGTAGCAGCTGCAAGTCCTGAAAAATGTATTTACCAGTACTTTTTATTTCATTTATCTAGTGTTTGTAAGCTACAGTCGATCTTTTGAAGTCCCTTAAAGTCGAAAGTGTAGTACTTTCAACTTTTCAATATAATATTAGATAATTATAATTATATATGTAAGGTTCACTCATATAAAATAATGAGCCAAAACAATTTCTCTACGAGAATACTCATTATAAGGTCGAAATTATTTTTAATTGCTTTTTTATGTTTATCTTAAATGGGTTTGTTCAACTTCCTCACTATTTCCTATTTCGAGGTCCCTATAAATGAATCAAATTTTATTGGCAGTTACCAAGGAGACTTTTATAACTTATAACAATAACCATAAGGATTTATTTGATGTTCTTAATGGATAAATCGCAACTACTCACTGGGGAACTGAAAGACCGACTGCTCGCTGGACCTGTCGCCCTCGCGGGCGGCGCTGCCGATGAGATCCTCTCGAGAACTGGCCTCCGTTATGGGGGCGGTGCTCTCATCCTCGACGCTGTCTATGCGGATCTGAAAGATGTGTGACCTCTCGCCGGACCTTCCTTCGTGACTGCTCATCGTCTTCTCTCTGCGCCGGAACTATGGCGTCATGGAACTCTGTGGACGGACAATTGTATGGGCGGCAGGTCATATGGGGCCACTTTCTAATTTGGCCTAGTTTGGAGCACCTGCTCCGTTACCCATGATAAACTATTTAAAGTCACAAGTTCGTAAACTTTAAGGGGAGGGGGCTTTTTGTGGGCCGTCATTCAAGAGTTGTCAGGCTGCACATACTTTTATCCCCCGATTCCCCAAAGCCATTAACTATTCATGTATGTTTATACTACTGGCCTCGAGCAGGGCGTTAATTTATACCCTTAAGAGTATTTGTATCTTCATTTGCAAACGCGTTCCAATCAAAAGGTGAACTCGGCCACGCATTCGACATTGACCCGCTGAAGGTGTTTGTATAGCCCGATGTGGGCTTCAGTGGGTTGGGATCGGGGAAAAACAACAGTCATTGGGAATAATGCCTTCACATTAACATTGGTGCACTATGGGAGCGAGTCCAGTTGGGTCGCTCCTTGGAGGGGAAGCAAACTTGTTGCTACGAGTTGTGAACACTTTCCCAGACGGTCGAATGACAATAGTTCTAAATAATTGCCCTAGATTTCGTATTGGGATATATGTTTGTACAATGCATGTATATCGGAATGTGGTGGCCAGTAGTGGACTGACACTGGACGAGGGACAAATAAATCCATTCTAACTCGTACCTGGATCACTAATAAGCGTGCGACGGACGTCCTGGAAATGTCAGCGTTTGTTGGCAGTTGTGAAAAGTCCCATGCCATTGAAGTAATCACAACAATTGAAGGTTTATTGATTCGCTCCCGTCGTATATGAGTAATCGATTATTGATTGCGGCTTCTATTCAGATGCAGTTGGAGTGTTATGTTATCACTTTCACAATAAATGATCGTTTTTAAGATCTGGTACGGGTACTCTAATCTGTTTTTTAGTTCCCAATGCAAACTAACGGACCCACTATTGATTTTGTGTGGCTTATAATTATTATCTTTCAATCAAGGTTCACATTATCCAAGCACACGCTCGCACGTCCATCCTGGCCACCTCTAATAGCACTTAATTTGGACACTTTCCGCTCTCTATATGGAGTACCGCTCACCACGACGGTTCCCGACCGATTGACCGACCACCAGGAGCTATGACCCTACTTTCAGGACAGTGACACTCTGGGACAGATAGTTAATCACGGTGAGTAGTACTCGTAGTCGCGGTTCTCTCGATGTGTAAAACTCGAGCAAGGGTCTATAGAAGTAGTCCTACCGATAGTGATGAGCGGTATTTGTACCTATATTGGAACCTGGGTTTATTTTCCATGGGGATTTTTAAAGGTGACTCAGGCTATGAAACCCAATCATCTGTAAGATCATCTGTTGGATGAAAAACCAATAATCCTGCCTTATTTTTTAAAGAATAAGAATTAAAATTTTTTTTTATCAAGATGAGAAAAACCAAAATGAGAGGTGTTTTTGGTTCAATATGCCTAGATGATACCAAGTACCTATACTAACTTATTGACCCCTTATATTTGCAGTAAATAATTAAAGTGTTTTATTATTTATATTAGAGGTAAATATAAACAATCAGTACTTTTCCATCACTGGCTAAACCATAGTTAACACTCATTCCAAATGGTCTTGGGGTACTTTTAACACGAATATCCTATTAATATGGTATTTGACTCGCTGTTGCACGAGGCTCTTCGTGATGACTTTCTAATTTTAAATCAGGCCGACTATACGGGCCAACGTATCCTGACCATCGCATTGATAGTTGTCAATGACGTCAGTTACTCACAGGGTCTACGGTCGTTATAGTACTTGGACTCTTACATATGTAATGCAGGTTGACCTATAGGTAAAATTAGTTTAAGGCTTCAATGAAGCTATCCCAGGGGCACCCTAAGCAACGCACCCTTGACGATAACTACCTTTAATTCGGGACCATAAAAATAGAGTTATATGCGACATTGTCTGGTACTCGTATGTTATAGGTACTATTATTGTACGGCTGGGAGTCTATTTTGATTAAATGCACGTCATTTATAACTGTGATATCGTTGCTTAATTTTGTTATTTCGGGGGTTAGTGCGTGCTGATTTGACCGTTTTTGGGCCTCCATTGTTTTTGATTGGCAGTATCTTACTGTTAGTAAAGAACAATTTCAGGTCGAGAATAGAAGTAGGCAAATTTCACTTATTTGTGGTCGACGTTGCGTCAGATTAGGTCACATTTGAGCCCACTTATAATAACATATTTAGAGAAGGTATTGCGTGTTTTCTTTTTATCTTTTTTTACTGCTTGGTGGCAATGTCAATTCAGAATACGTATCCTATACTTTCTAAAACGGGATGCCCTACTTATTTATACTCGTCAAATAATTAAATATTATTTTGGTGTGTTAACCTTTGTTAGTAAAGTGAACGCATTATTTATTTGTTTCAATATGAAATGTCTCAATTGACTGTGCATATGAATAAGTGGTATATCTATTCATTTCTTTGAAACACTTAAGATCATTGTATTTATTTTATTTGCCTTTGCACAATGCTTTTATATTAAACCATCGATTAATACAACTATTTAACATTTTTAACGGACTCAAATCTTTAAAATCCACTTCTTTAATTACTCTCCAAATATATTTATCGGAATTAAAAAATGGCTGTTATTTTCGTGAATATGCTTTTGTAGTATATGTATTAGACCACCACCATAAGATTGACTGCCAATCCTTCATTTAACCCAAGCTATCGCCGCTGATTACGTTCACTGGAGAACTTATGCACTGTTGCAGGACATCAACTTCGCAGCTGTTGGTCAGCCGGTTGAACCACTCTCCTTGGGCGCATTCTCCCTCGATCCTTTGGCCATGGACGCAGGTGAAGTATCCCCGGCAGTTGTCGGCATCTCGAGTCAATTGTCCATGCTTTCCGTTGCAGACTCCAACCCTTTCGCCGTTCTCCATGAGGCAGGTTCCATCGCTCTGTCGACAGATTCCCAAGAGACTGTCGAAGCTTTCTCCGTTGCGACATCGCTGGGAGACGGGTTCGTCATCCTCGCAGCTGGTGTATCTTCTACAGTCACCCTGCTCCGCCACTGAAGCGCCATTTCCGATGACACCACATATTCCAGCGAAAGTAGTGGGTGCATCCTTGCAGATCCCAGTCGTCGCTGCCTTTTCCTGACCACCTATCTCCACCTGTCGGGACTCTACAGATTTCTCTGTTATGGAATCCCCATTCGACAAGACCTCGTAGGCCTGACACTGCTGCAACGTGGCGTTGAAGAAGTAATCCGTATAGCAAAGCTCATGGCGAAGTTTTCCAGAGACGCAGATGTAGAAGTTATTGCAGTTGGCCGGATCGGGCATGATATATCCATGCTTGCCCTCACAAACCACCGGATCTGGAGGCACATGCTGATTGTTTGGACTGTCATCATCATCTGTATCTGATTCCACCAGTGGACATGAGCCATCATCCGCAAGGCAGAGCTGTTGCTCCGAATCGAAGAAGGTGCCCGCGGCACATCGCTGGGCAGTGGCCACTCCTCCGGCGCAGATAAAGTACCGGGTGCAGTCAGTCCGATTGGCCAGGAAGCTGCCATCCTGGAGGTTTCCACAGCTGTAGACGTGGGTAATATTCCCCTCCAGCTGACCATTGGGACATGGTTGTACCGCCTGTGATTCCGGTTCGCAGGTGGACAGCACCGGGTTAAATTGATGGTCTGCTGGACACTCCACGGGAATAGCTAGTCCCTTGACACAGGCGTAGTACAAATTGCAGTAGCGCTCGTGGGATATTCTCACTCCATGCAGTCCAGAGCACAACCTGGTTGCGGTCCCAGAATCCTCATCATTGGAAGCTTTTCGGCACTGGCCATAATCCATCCGGCAAATCGAGAGGAAGCTGTGGAAGTACTGCCCCTCATCACACTGTATCAACCGGGTTCCATTCTGGCTGGAGCAGCTGTAGTAGGAACGACAATCATCCGGATTCGCCACCAGCTTGCCATCTTCCAGACCCGAGCAAATGGCCAGCTGGCAAGAGCCATCATTTGGTCGGCAGTATCCTTGGCTAGAGTCGAAGAAGCTGCCGGAGACGCAGTTCTGCAGGATGGCGGGAGTCTGCTGGAGGCACAGGTAGAATCGAGTGCAATCCGAGGGATCGGCGACACTCAGGCCATCCATCTGACCCAGGCACCGATTCTCCGAGGGGAGATCCCTCATCTGGAGCTGGCACTGTGATTGCACCTGGCACTTGTTGAGACTGCCGGCAAAACTGTGCCCTCTCAGGCAGCTGCCCAAATGCCACTCCTCCGCCTCGCAGTAGAGGAATGTCTGGGAGCAGTTTTCTCTGAACCGAGCTCGTAGTTCCCCCTCCTGGCAGATCCGCCTCATCCCATTGTCATGACAGCTTCCATCGCTGGGCATACATCCTAGCATGGGCTCGAATTGCTCCCTCTCCTGGCAGCGTCTCCTGGTCCACTGACCACCCGCACACAGTTCGTAGCTGTGGCAACTGCCCACCAAAGATCTGCTGTCTCCATTGGAACAGTTCGTCGCATTTTGCTCCGCTGGCTGAGAGCACTGACCCGCATCATTGGGCAGACAGTAGTTGTGCTCGCGGCTAAAGAACATGCCCAAGGGACACTGATGCAGCCACCAGGAGTTGTCCAGGCACATGAGGTAACTCTGACAGCCTCCTGCCATCGAAGGACGCACTGCCAGGTGCTGGCAATCCTGCGAGGAATTACTGACAGACTTGCTCCTGGCCAAACCGCACATGGTTTGATTCCTTTCCTGCTCAAGGCCCCTCGGCAAGGGCAGACATGATCCTATTGAAGGGGAGTAGTAGTGCTGCTTGGGGCAGTTGCGCAGGCGCCATTTGCCACCGGAGCAGCGGAAGTATTGCAGACAGTTCCCACTTTTGGCCACAACCGTCCGAGATTCGCTGATATTGCTGCAGGGCGGTAGATTTGATACCCGGGCGTAGGCACAGACGAGGTCGTCCCGGGGTTCCAGGCATCGCTGCTGCTCCGGGTTGTAGTACCGCTGGTCGGAGCAAGTGCGTCGCCGCCAGTGGCCATCGATGCACACCTCGTACTGGGAACAGTTCGCTGGCACCGAGCGCATCTCATCCATATAACAAATCTAAAAAATAGAAGTAAGGGTATTAAATGATATTCCAAACCTATATTTAATATTATAGTATTTAAACATTTTAAGATTAGTAACCATCCTACTTTAAAATATTTTTTGCTGAGGCTAATGGCAAATACTATTTGAGCTAACTAAGTATTACCTGAGATTTCAATTACACTTCTTAGAAAAAAGATAATTTCTCTCATGCATCTTCTAGATGTTAAATCTGTAGACCCACACTTAAATTTATCTTTACAAACATGATAGTGGATTACGAAGTCAAAATAAACCTCTAAATAAAAACCACCTTTACCTTGATCACCCTACTTTTTCTGAAACTTGGCAAAATCCACATGTTCCATTCTATAGGCACACAAATAAAAAGCCGAAATTTTGTAATTCATCTATTTTGAATTTATTGTAGCGCATATGTGAGTAGAGTACATTATTGGGTATTTAATACGTATAGAAGTGGAACAAGCGGAACATTCACATAAACCGTAACTCATAAATAACAACTAATGTCGTAAGGTAGTGTATAAGAGTATAAAAAGCGGCTCAATACTGGCCTAGTAGAGTTTCGGGAAGAATTTCTTGAACAAGGACAGGGACCTTACGTTTTCCTCCGCCTCCAAGGAGCGCTTCTGGATGTCGTGGTCCTTGCACACGCCGAGTTCGGGGGCAAAGAGATGGCCCTCGGCGCACGGATGATAGGTGACACTGATGCGTTCCTGGTCATCGCAGGAGCAGAATCCAGACCTGGTGTTTTCCGCGGCGAAGGGTTCGAATTGGCTTCGCTTCAGGCATTCCTTGAGGTTGCAAGAGATCATAGCCATGGTGTCCTTCAGTAGACAAATGCCCTGGACCTTGTCGAAAACGTGTCCCGTTTCGCAATGATGGAAGGTGGCCACTCCATTGCAGGAGCAGAAGCCATCGGTGGTGTTCTTCGCCTCGAAGGTTTCGGAGGCGACTTTGTTCAGGCAGTAGGTATAATCGCAAGCCTCGAGCACACAGGATCCCGCGCTCTCCTCGTAAACATGCTCATCCGCACAGCTGGTGAAGGTGGAAACTCCCACATCCTGGCAGCTGCAATATCCACTGCTGGTATTGGTGGCCGCAAAAGTGGAGGCCAAAACGGCACGGCTGTGGCATCGGCTGGCATCGCAGAGGCTGGCCTCGGCGATCTTGGAAGAGGGCGACAGGCAGGCACCCACGGCGGTGTTGTAGGTGTTACCCTCGGGACAATCCTTAAAGACCGGGGTTCCGGCCACACACAAACAGAAGCCATCGACCGTACTCAGAGCCGGATAGGAGTAGTAGTCACTGGAGGAACCACACTGACCCGCTTCGCAAATACACTCGGATGCCTACGAAAGACTATATCAATGTCCATCCCCAAACATGATAACTATTTCCTTACCGCCACCACTCCGCATCGCCCCTGATCCGCAAGGTAAACCATTTCGGCGCTGCACTGCGTCAGGACAACGTCGCCATCTTCACAGTAACAGAAGGAATCGCTGTCCTCGGTAGCCCCGTTTACTGGGAAAGGAACATAGTCGCTTAAGGTAGAGCACTTGTCAACATCACACAAGGTAGTCACGCAGCCATCCTGGAAATAATTCAGAATTTACTCAACGTACCCTAGTTATACTGGGACGTCGTCTTACCACAGGCTTTTTGCATATTCCCAAAGAGGCATCGAATTCCTGGCCATCGGGACATAGACGGAAGGTTGGCAAACCGCCTTCACAATAGCAGAATCCATCCGATCCCTCGATGGGCTCGTATGGAGTGTACTCCGCCAGGACGTCACATTTCTCTTCATTGCATTTGGGGACAACGCATGAATCCTAATAATTATTATAAATATTAAATAACTACCACACTGTAAGAAATATACTGGTGATCCCATCACTCACCTCTGGTTCCGTGCAGATTCCTAACTTCTCGTTGTATTCCAGATTATCGCCACAGGCGCGATAGATTGGACAGTAGTTAACACAGTAGCAAAAGCCAGATGGATCACTTTGCACTGGGAAGGTGTTGTAGTCCGATTCCGTCTCACAAGTGGTGGCATCACAGGCATTCACAGCGCAAGTTGTTTCTTCCTGCAAGATTAATATCCATTAAAGATGACTGAACTCTAGCTCTGGAAACGGCTTACCGCAGTGCTGGTGCAGTAACCCAGATCATTGTCATATTGGGAATTATCGGGGCAGCTGACGTACTTGGGAACCTCATCCACGCAGAGGCAGAAGCCATCGGTAGTATCCAAAGCCGAAACAGTATCGAAGTCCGTCTTGCCCGCGCAGGCATTGCATGAGCAACGTGGCTTTAAAAATATTACAAAAATAATGATAACAAATTCCAGGATATATCCCTAAGAACTTACATCTGGTTGAGAAATGAGAACACACTCCAGCTCATTGCTGTCAAAAGTGTAGCCTCGGGGACAGGGCACTGAGATGGGATCGCCAGCGCGGCACAAACAGAAACTATTGGGGTCCTCGTAGTCCGTTGACACGTAGTACTCCGACTGACCAGTGCAGATCAGAGGATCGCAGTTTCCTGACTGTTAACGGAAAGGAATGGTTTAATAACTGCAAATCCCTCACATATATATTTATACAAGGACTTACAAAAGAGCAGGTATCTGTAGTTTCGTCGTAAAACAATCCGGTGGCGCAGGACTTGAGATATCCTCCACCATTTTCGCACAGGCAGAATGTCGAAGAGTCGTTACTCTGCGATGGGTAGGTCGAGTACTCAGTGGCAGTCTTGCACACAGTCTGGTCGCAATAAGGCTAGATTTGTTAAAAACAGAGAGACATAAAATCTTAATTAATAATAATAGCTCTCGTAAGACTACCAGAAAAACAGTACTTAATTTTTATAAAAAATTAAAACAATTTGAGGCATTGCCTAAAAGTCTAGGCAATTTTTATAAAGTCTTTAAAGTCAATGTGTTAACTTACACTGGGTACGGTCTTGCAAAAGCCCAGGTCGGCATCGTAGGCGGTATTAGCCGGACAGGCTACAATGGTGGGCTCCTTATTGAGGCACACGTAGAACTTGCTTGCATCTCCTGCCACGGGGTAAGTAGTGCCGTCAGAGGCGGTGGCGCAACTCTTGGCCGAGCACTCCGCGGTGGCGGAGCACAGACCAGTTTCAGAATCGAAGGCCTCACCGGCGGGGCACTGCACCACCTGGGGGACTCCGTCCGTGCACTTGAAGTAATCGGTGCAGATGGGATGGGCCACGTTGCCGTTGGCGGTGCAGGAGCATGGGTTGATACACTTGCCATAGATATCAATGGCGCACTCATCATTGCCATTGTACCACTCGCCGGATCCACAAGAGTGCTCCGTGGCCAGGCCATTCCAGCAAGTCAAGTAGCTGGTGCAGTCAGTCGGATTAAGCATCTGGTAGCCATTCGGTTTGTTGATGCACTTCCAGCAGGTGGCCTTGGTGTCCGGAGCGCAGACGCCGCTGCAATTCTTGAAGATATTGCCCACGCCGCACAGGCCCTCCACCAGTTCTCCGTTCTCGCAGATCAGATACTTATCGCAATCGGTGGGATGGCTGATGATGCTTCCCTGGGCGATGCCGCCCTCGCAGGTGCAATCCTCCACGCTCCTCTTCTGACGCGATCCACTTGATCTGTTCTCCGGACAGATGTTATCTGTATCCGGGCGGCAAATGCCCAAGGTGGCGTTGAAGTAGTAGTCCGCCATGCAAGACTCATCCTCCCACTGGCCATCGATGCAGGCCTTGTAGCTCCAGCAATTCTTACCGCTGGTTGGGATATCTCGGGCACTGCATTGGTTAACAGTAGACACTGTGGGCTCTGTGGGGGTCGAAGCTTCAATGCACACATTGTCCTTGTCCACTTGGCAAGTCTGCAGAGTTACATTAAAATAGCTTCCTGCTGCACACGGTGTGGATGTCCAATCGGCACTTTGACACTTGAAGTACTTAGTGCAGTCCTGGGGATCTACTTTCACTTCACCATCTGTGCAATCCGCCACGCAGCATTCGTTCTTTGAATCCACCTCACAAACGCTGAGGGTGGCATTGAACAAGTTGCCCTTGCCGCAATCTTTGGCCACCAGGACACCATTGCTGCAGATGAAGTACTTGCGGCAGTTATCCACATCGGGAATTAATTCGGCGTTCTTGATGTCACCACAATCGCAGGAGACTGGAGGTTCCGTTGTCACCTCATCACAGGGTTCGGTGGTGGTGGTTGTCACCACATCGCAGGGCTCAGTGGTTGTGGTTGTCACCTCATCACAAGGTTCAGTGGTTGTAGTTGTCACCTCATCACAGGGTTCGGTGGTGGTGGTTGTCACCTCATCGCAGGGTTCTGTGGTTGTAGTTGTCACCTCATCGCAGGGTTCAGTGGTTGTGGTTGTCACTTCATCACAAGGTTCAGTGGTTGTAGTTGTCACCTCATCACAAGGTTCAGTGGTTGTAGTTGTCACCTCATCACAGGGTTCGGTGGTGGTGGTTGTCACCTCATCGCAGGGCTCAGTGGTTGTAGTTGTCACCTCATCGCAGGGTGCAGTGGTTGTAGTTGTCACCTCATCACAGGGTTCGGTGGTGGTGGTTGTCACCTCATCGCAGGGTGCAGTGGTTGTCGTTGTCACCTCATCACAGGGTTCGGTGGTGGTGGTTGTCACCTCATCACAGGGTTCAGTGGTTGTGGTTGGGGACTCCGTGGTACAATCCCCGGGAACACAACCCCAGTTGGTATCTTCAAAGTGACTACCTTCAGGACATTCCTGAGCGGTGGCCGTGTTGTTGGAGCACACGTAAAACGCGGAGCAGTTGGACTCGTCGGCCACAGCCGATCCGTCAGTCTTTCCAATGCAGAAGTTAGTCCAGCATTCCTTGTTTCCAGTGTCGACGGTGCAGGCGGCCACCGTGGTGTTGAAGAAGCTGCCCAGAGGACAGGTCTGAAGAGTGGCCTCCGAGTCGGAGCACACATAGTAGCTGCCGCAGTTCTCCTCGTTAGCCAAGAAGACACCACTCGTCTTTCCGACGCACAGGTTCTGCCAGCAGGTGGAGTTCGTGTCCGGAAGGCAGGCACCCTGGGTATTATTGAAGTAGCTTCCTGAGTCGCACTTCTGAGGGTAGGCCGTCTGCTCGTCACAGATGTAGAACTCGGCACAATAGCCACTCTTGGCCAGATAGGCTCCATTCACTTCTAAGGAACACACATTGGTGGTCTGGAGAATAAGTGGATTATAATAACGATATGGAGATTATGAATTAGAAATTTTGATGGATTTTAAAATTACCTCGGCAAGTGGAGCTATGAGACTCAGCTTACAAAGGCCTCGACCTGCCCTGGAGCACCGGCCACTCTTCGGGTTGTACTCTTTGCCCAACGGACACGTCACCGTCCGCACGGTGTTCTTCGAGGAGCAACGGTAGTAGGTGGAGCAGCTCAAGGGTTTCGGCCAGTGCGGCGAGAGTCCTCGTATCTTCCGGTATATGCATTCAGGATCGGCGGCTCCAACGAAGGATGCCACTGTAGTGAGTGCCACCACAGCTAGCAGAGTAACTGGAGAAAAGGGGCTCTGAGTCCTGGTTACCATTAAAATCCTGAACTTCCTCACCTTTCATCTTGTTCACTTGTATTATTCCACTTGTGATGTTCGAGATGTACTCTGCATCATTGCCAAAAATTTGATGCCTTTTATATACATATTAGTTGATCTTATCTCTATCAATTATGTTGATAATGTTAAACACGTGCCTATCATGTTGGTCTAATTGAGGTGTGAACTTCTAGCCCCGTAGTTCGTGGAAGTAACCACCTATCGCAGTGTAACCACTCCCCAAAATTCGATGCTAGGAATTCGCAATGTTATGAATGAATGTCACGAACGTGGTCGTGTTCAAGCTCAAGATCACTCTAAAACAACAAAGAAAACGGGTAGAGGAATCATTTTTGAGAGCATACTATTCTAAGTTCTTTATTTCTCTAGGCGCATGTCTTGTCGCAAGTCTGGTTGACCGAATTCCAGAATAGATCACTTGGACAATCCATGACGTATCCCACATCCCCATTGCAGTGTATGTATAGATGACAATCATACGGATGTGGCAGGAACTGGACACCCTGATGAGTCCTACAAGAGGCGTCTGCATCAACGCTGGGTGTAGTCTGGGACGTTGATTCACTGGAACTCAGAGGTTCGTCAGTTGGTTTTTCTGAACTTCCCGGCTCGACCGTTGTTTCTGATGTAACTCGAGTAGTCTCTTTCGAAGGAACTGAGGACTCGTCAGTGGGTTCGTCTGTAGAAGGTGATGACTCTTCAGTTGGCTTTCCAGTAGGATCTAAAGGAGAGTCTGTTGTCTCTCCCGTCGGGTCATTAGGCTCTCTAGTTGGATCTTCAGTGGGTTGACCCGTTGGAGAGGATGGTTCTCCAGTGGGATCTCCCGTGGGATCCGACGGATGATCAGTTGGTTCTCCTGTTGGCTCCGATGGTTTTTCAGTGGGTTCTTCCGTGGGACCCGACGGGTTATCAGTTGGTTCTCCTGTTGGCTCCGATGGTTTTTCAGTGGGTTCTTCCGTTGGATCCGATGGATTATCGGTTGATTCTCCTGTTGGCTCCCATGGTTTTTCAGTGGGATCCGACGGATTTGGAGTGGGATCTCCCGTTGGTACCGAAGGTTCTTTAGTGGGTGTGGGATCTAAAGGACTTTCAGTTGTCACTTCAGTGGGCTTTCCCGTGGGACCCGAGGGCTCATCAGTTGGATCCCATGGATCCTCAGATGAGTCATCCGTGGGATCCCATGGATCGTCAGTGGGGTCATCGGGATCCTCCGTGGGGTGTGGGGCAGCAGTTGGTTTAACACATTGTCTGGCACTGAGAGCAGTTGCCAACAGCATAAGCTGCAAGGACATCAAAATCCAGACCACTGAAACCCAAAAACGATTGTCTTTAATGTTAAAGGATATTGATATGGTTCTCTACCTGTACTTACATCTCATCGTAGCAACGATCAGTCGACTAGTAACCAGACCAATAAAAAGTTCCCTATCGTCAGTGCATTTATACTATTCGAACTGCATCTGATTCAGACTTTAATTAGCATACAACAAGACACTAAAATGTTCTTATTATTACTTTCTTAACCAATTATGATAGAACCGCAAAACCTTGATTGATAAGGAGTTCAAACAATTGTGCTTAAACGAAAAGGTAAGAAAACACAATTGGCATACACACAAAAAAATTTAAGAAAAAATTAAAATTTATGCTGGTCATTAAAAGTATATTTAAGTTTATATTAAAAGTTATTTCGTAGAAGTCAAGTGTCCAGGAGTTTTAACTTAAACAGATGACCCAGCTAAATCAAAATGTTCACAAATACTTCTGGCAAAATCCAATAATTTTTATTATTCGATTATTGGGGATATATACAGTAATTAGAAAATCTAAGATATCATGTTTTTAGATCATTAATAAATTACCAATCGATAACAATTAGATAACAACACCATTTGATAAGAGTGACAGGGCCTAGTAAATGCTTTGTTAAAATGTACGATAACTTCAGCGATTCTGAGATAAGAATAAGATGAGTTAACGTTCAACGTTGGATTGTAAAAGGGAAAATAAAGACCTAATTAAAACTTGAGTTTTATTACTTAAGGGGTTTCCAATTATTCATTGGTACCAGTCATATCTCTGCCATGACCATTTAATAGCAATTTACTGTCTTGTTTGATAAGATTGGACGACCAGTGTACATATATGTAGTTAATTCATTTTGACATTCAATGCGCCTACATAAGCATGATTAAATGATTTATTTATTAATGAACTAACTAAAAGTCGAAAATATTAGAGATGTTTTTCGGTCTTTTTTGCACTTTCCCCAATATCAGACAAAAACCTTCTTCATTTATGTTTAAGTTTAACCTTCAATTTTCCTTCCAACTTTAAAACGTAACAGACATCTAAATGGAACTTTAAAAAAGTAGAAGTTTTTCTAATCTCCTTTGTGTCACGCAGTTTATAAGTTTCCGGATGTACTTGAAATAATCAGGACAGACGTATTATTTTCCCAGAACACTTAAAGTGTTCGAACAAGAGTAGGTAAATATTAGTAATAATAACAAAGCGAACTATTTAAAGTATCAACAAACCAATACACTGTAAAAGAAAACAATTAAAAACAGTGACCCAATTAATAAAGATTTGTTTTTGAATTTATGCTTCATGGAGAATATATTTAAACCTAAAATCTTTTCAGATTGTAAATAAATTGTATTAGTTGATATTTTTATACCCGTTACTCGTAGAGTAAAAGGGTATACTAGATTCGTCGGAAAGTATGTAACAGGCATAAGGAAGCGTTTCCGACCCTATAAAGTATATATATTCTTGATCAGGATCACCAGCCGAGTCGATCTAGCCATGTCCGTCTGTCCGTATGAACGCTGAGATCTCGGAAACTATGAGAGTTACAATACTGGGATTAGGCACGCAGATTCCTGAGATTCCTGCGCAGCGCAAGTTTGTTTCAGTAGAGTGCCACGCCCACTCTAACGCCCACAAACCGCCCAAAACTGTGGCTCCTACAGTTTTGATGCTAGAATAAAAATTTTAACTGAAATGTAATGTTCTCATCAATACCTATCGATTGACCCAAAGTTTGCCCCGCCCACTCTAACGCCCATAACGCTTAAATCTGTATACCGCCGGTAGGTGGCGCATTTTAATCTCGCTTTGCTGCTTGCATATCTCTATATAGCTGAGTAACGGGTATCTGATAGTCGAGGTACTCGACTATAGCGTTCTTCCTTGTTTATTTTTAAATCCACTATTATTTTCTTTAGTGCTTGTCACAAATTGTATAACTCAGCCTTTTTAACTTTATACCATTTCTTACGGGCATTGTTTAAAATTGCAAGGCAATAAATTGATAAAGATCGCTAAAGTTGATTTACTATGGCAGTCAATACACGTGAAAATGTAAAAGATTAGGTAGATAAAATGAAGAGTAGTTCAGTATTAACTGAAGCAATTGCTATATAAGCAAGGAACATTGTGAAAAGTTGTACTTTGCGAGACCGTCCACATTGCAAAACATGAGAGGTTGTTTAATCAAGCTAACATGTTATAGCGAAACATCTAATATTTTTATTAATTTAAGGCTATAACCTTGTTGGAATACTTGGAATGCTTGCACTACTTGTAGGTGCGGCGGCATCATCGGGAGAGGATAGTACCATTGAGAATACAACAGATGAATCTACCACTGAGGATGCGACTACGGAGGAGGCAACTACGGAGGAGGCAACTACGGAGATTCCTACCACAACACTGCCACCTCCAGTCCTGTGTCCTGATGGAGAATTATTTCTTCCAGCACCGGACTGTAGGCAGTATTATCAGTGCCTCTATGGTGAGGGAATTTTGAAACTATGCCCTGATGGTCTCTATTGGGATCGTGAACTGAATGTATGTGCCTGGGACTCACAGTTTTGTGCGGACGAGGAAAAGAAGTCCACGGAGGCTCCGGCCCTGAGCTGTTCATCTGGCTTGCAATTTTTGCCCTATCCGCCCGATTGCACCAAATTCATCCAGTGTGTCTATAACATTGGGATTAAATTGAGCTGCCCAAGCGGGCTGTACTGGAACCAACCGCTTCAAACGTGTGACTATAGCTGCAACAATGCAGTCGACTTCTCCAATGAATTTCAGGTGCAATAACCGCCAATAATTGAGGTAGTATTTTGTAATACACCAAAAATGTCCATACATACTAATCGAAATAAAGAAATACCAATTCAACGTAATTGATTTTCAGCCGACGGCAGTTCAATTGGGTTCCTCTTAAAGATAACGGGCTTCGCAAAAAAGAACAGATAAGATGGCGAATGAGCTTCAATTGGGGTTATAAATATGAATGCACCGAGCTAAGGTGTCAGTTAGCCAAATGCCTCTGTAAAGCTCAAACGTAAATCGGCCGCGATGAAAACAAATAAATCCTTAAGTCATTATATTATATTCAATGTGTTAACAGTGGTACTAATAGTGCAGATAAAAGCTGAAAATAAAGCAACATTACACAAACGGAGTTATCGAAATGATAATGGCCTAACTATAAGTGATTCGTTTAATAAAGTTTTGCCAACCCAAAAATTTAATCGTTACCAATCACATAAATACAATGACGGGTCACAAAGGTTAACACTCGCAACAACAGTCTACAATTTGACAAAAGCAGACGGAACTGAAGGTGACACTACCGTACAGGACTCACCACCAATTCCTGACGAAACTACCACAACTGCCCAGGACTCAACGCCTGAAGATAGCACCACTATCGAGGATGCTACAACTGCTCCTGACGAAAACACCACAGCTGGATCTGAAGATGACACTACCGTAGAGGATTTAACACCGATTCCCGACGAAACTACCACAGCTGGCCAGGACTCAACTCCTGAGGATAGCACCACTGTCGAGGATGCTACAACTGTTCCTGATGAAAACAATACAGCTGGATCTGGTGATGATACTACCGTAGAGGATTCAACACCGATTCCTGAAGAAACTACTACAGCCGCCAAGGACTCAACTCCTGAAGACAGCACCACTATCGAGGATGCTACAACTGTTCCTGATGAAAACACCACAGCTGGATCTGGTGATGATACTACCGTAGAGGATTCAACACCGATTCCTGACGAAACTACCACAGCTGCCCAGGACTCAACTCCTGAGGATAGCACCACTATCGAGGATGCTACAACTGTTCCTGATGAAAACACTACAGCTGGATCTGGTGATGATACTACCGCAGAGGATTCAACACCGATTCCTGAAGGAACTACTACAGCTGGCCAGGACTCAAGTCCTGAGGATAGCACCACTATCGAGGATGCTACAACTGTTCCTGATGAAAACACTACAGCTGGATCTGGTGATGATACTACCGCAGAGGATTCAACACCGATTCCTGAAGAAACTACTACAGCTGCCCAGGACTCAACTCCTGAGGATAGCACCACTATCGAGGATGCTACAACTGTTCCTGATGAAAACACTACAGCTGGATCTGGTGATGATACTACCGTAGAGGATTCAACACCGAATTCTGAAGAAACTACTACAGTTGCCCAGGACTCAACTCCAGAAGATAGCACCACTATCGAGGATGCTACAACTGTTCCTGATGAAAACACTACAGCTGGATCTGGTGATGATACTACCGTAGAGGATTCAACACCGACTCCTGAAGAAACTACCACAGCTGCCCAGGACTCAACGCATGAAGATAGCACCACTATCGAGGATGCTACAACTGCTCTTGATGAAAACACCACAGCTGGATCTGAAGATGACTCTACCGTAGAGGATTTAACACCGATTCCCGACGAAACTACCACAGCTGGCCAGGACTCAACTCCTGAGGATAGCACCACTGTCGAGGATGCTACAACTGTTCCTGATGAAAACACTACAGCTGGATCTGGAAATGATACTACCGTAGAGGATTCAACACCGACTCCTGAAGAAACTACCACAGCTGCCCAGGACTCAACGCATGAAGATAGCACCACTATCGAGGATGCTACAACTGCTCCTGATGAAAACACCACAGCTGGATCTGGTGATGATACTACCGTAGAGGATTCAACAGCGATTCCTGAAGAAACTACTACAGCTGCCCAGGACTCAACTCCTGAGGATAGCACCACTATCGAGGATGCTACAACTGTTCCTGATGAAAACACTACAGCTGGATCTGGTGATGATACTACCGCAGAGGATTCAACACCGATTCCTGAAGAAACTACTACAGCTGGCCAGGACTCAAGTCCTGAGGATAGCACCACTATCGAGGATGCTACAACTGTTCCTGATGAAAACACTACAGCTGGATCTGGAGATGATACTACCGTAGAGGATTCAACAGCGATTCCTGACGAAACTACCACAGCTGCCCAGGACTCAACTCCTGAGGATAGCACCACTATCGAGGATGCTACAACTGTTCCTGATGAAAACACTACAGCTGGATCTAAAGATGACACTACCGTAGAGGATTTAACACCGATTCCCGACGAAACTACCACAGCTGCCCAGGACTCAACTCCTGAAGATAGCACCACTATCGAGGATGCTACAACTGTTCCTGATGAAAACACTACAGCTGGATCTGGTGATGATAGTACCGTAGAGGATTCAACAGCGATTCCTGAAGAAACTACTACAGCTGGCCAGGACTCAACTCCTGAGGATAGCACCACTATCGAGGATGCTACAACTGTTCCTGATGAAAACACTACAGCTGGATCTGGTGATGATACTACCGTAGAGGATTCAACACCGATTCCTGAAGAAACTACTACAGCTGCCCAGGACGCAATTCCTGAAGATAGCACCACTATCGAGGATGCTACAACTGCTCCTGACGAAAACACTACATCTGGATCTGGAGATGACACTACCGTAGAGGATTCAACACCGATTCCTAAAGAAACTACCACAGCTGGCCAGGACTCAACTCCTGTAGATAGCACCACTATCGAGGATGCTACAACTGTTCCTGATGAAAACACTACAGCTGGATCTGGAGATGATACTAGCGTAGAGGATTCAACACCGATTCCTGACGAAACTACCACAGGTGCCCAGGACTCAACTCCTGAAGATAGCACCACTATCGAGGATGCTACAACTGTTCCTGATGAAAACACTACAGCTGGATCTGGAGATGATACTACCGTAGAGGATTCAACAGCGATTCCTGAAGAAACTACTACAGCTGCCCAGGACTCAACTCCTGAAGATAGCACCACTATCGAGGATGCTACAACTGTTCCTGATGAAAACACTACAGCTGGATCTGGTGATGATACTACCGTAGAGGATTCAACACCGATTCCTGAAGAAACTACTACAGCTGCCCAGGACGCAATTCCTGAAGATAGCACCACTATCGAGGATGCTACAACTGCTCCTGACGAAAACACTACATCTGGATCTGGAGATGACACTACCGTAGAGGATTCAACACCGATTCCTAAAGAAACTACCACAGCTGGCCAGGACTCAACTCCTGTAGATAGCACCACTATCGAGGATGCTACAACTGTTCCTGATGAAAACACTACAGCTGGATCTGGAGATGATACTAGCGTAGAGGATTCAACACCGATTCCTGACGAAACTACCACAGGTGCCCAGGACTCAACTTCTGAAAATAGCACCACTATCGAGGATGCTACAACTGTTCCTGATGAAAACACTACAGCTGGATCTGAAGATGACACTACCGCAGAGGATTCAACACCGATTCCCGACGAAACTACCACAGCTGGCCAGGACACAACTCCTGAAGATAGCACCACTATCGAGGATGCTACAAATGTTCCTGACGAAAACACTACATCTGGATCTGGAGATGATACTACCGTAGAGGACTCAACACCGATTCCTGAAGAAACTACTACAGCTGGCCAGGACTCAACTCCTGAGGATAGCACCACTATCGAGAATGCTACAACTGCTCCTGACGAAAACACCACAGCTGGATCTGAAGATGACACTACCGCAGAGGATTCAACACCGATTCCCGACGAAACTACCACAGCTGGCCAGGACTCAACTCCTGAAGATAGCACAACTATCGAGGATGCTACAACTATTCCTGATGAAAACACTACAGCTGGATCTGGAGATGATACTACCGTAGAGGATTCAACAGCGTTTCCTGACGAAACTACCACAGCTGCCCATGACTCAACTCCTGAAGATAGCACCACTATCGAGGATGCTACAACTGTTCCTGATGAAAACACTACAGCTGGATCTGGAGATGATACTACCGTAGAGGATTCAACAGCGATTCCTGACGAAACTACCACAGCTGCCCAGGACTCAACTCCTGGAGATAGCACCACTATCGAGGATGCTACAACTGTTCCTGATGAAAACACTACAGCTGGATCTGGTGATGATACTACCGTAGAGGATTCAACACCGATTCCTGAAGAAACTACTACAGCTGGCCAGGACTCAAGTCCTGAAGATAGCACCACTATCGAGGATGCTACAACTGTTCCTGATGAAAACACTACAGCTGGATCTGGTGATGATACTACCGTAGAGGATTCAACACCGATTCCTGAAGAAACTACTACAGCTGGCCAGGACTCAAGTCCTGAAGATAGCACCACTATCGAGGATGCTACAACTGTTCCTGATGAAAACACTACAGCTGGATCTGGTGATGATACTACCGTAGAGGATTCAACACCGATTCCTGAAGAAACTACTACAGCTGGCCAGGACTCAACTCCTGAGGATAGCACCACTATCGAGGATGCTACAACTGTTCCTGATGAAAACACTACAGCTGGATCTGGTGATGATACTACCGTAGAGGATTCAACACCGAATTCTGAAGAAACTACTACAGTTGCCCAGGACTCAACTCCAGAAGATAGCACCACTATCGAGGATGCTACAACTGTTCCTGATGAAAACACTACAGCTGGATCTGGTGATGATACTACCGTAGAGGATTCAACACCGATTCCTGAAGAAACTACTACAGCTGGCCAGGACTCAAGTCCTGAAGATAGCACCACTATCGAGGATGCTACAACTGTTCCTGATGAAAACACTACAGCTGGATCTGGTGATGATACTACCGTAGAGGATTCAACACCGATTCCTGAAGAAACTACTACAGCTGGTCAGGACACAACTCCTGAAGATAGCACCACTATCGAGGATGCTACAACTGTTCCTGATGAAAACACTACAGCTGGATCTGGTGATGATACTACCGTAGAGGATTCAACACCGATTCCTGAAGAAACTACTACAGCTGGCCAGGACTCAACTCCTGAGGATAGCACCACTATCGAGGATGCTACAACTACTCCTGACGAAAACACCACAGTTGGACCTGAAGATGACACTACCGTAGAGGATTCAACACCGATTCCCGACGAAACTACCACAGCTGGCCAGGACTCAACTCCTGAGGATAGCACCACTATCGAGGATGCTACAACTATTCCTGATGAAAACACTACAGCTGGATCTGGAGATGATACTACCGTAGAGGATTTAACACCGATTCCTGAAGAAACTACTACAGCTGCCCAGGACTCAACTCCTGAAGATACCACCACTATCGAGGATGCTACAACTGTTCCTGATGAAAGCACTACAGCTGGATCTGGTGATGATACTACCGTAGAGGATTCAACAGTGATTCCTGAAGAAACTACTACAGCTGGCCAGGACTCAACTCCTGAAGATAGCACCACTATCGAGGATGCTACAACTGTTCCTGATGAAAACACTACAGCTGGATCTGGAGATGATACTTCCGTAGAGGATTCAACACCGATTCCTGAAGAAACTACTACAGTTGCCCAGGACTCAACTCCTGAGGATAGCACCACTATCGAGGACGCTACAACTGTTCCTGATGAAAACACTACAGCTGGATCTGGTGATGATACTACCGTAGAGGAGTCAACACCGATTCCTGAAGAAACTACTACAGCTGCCCAGGACTCAACTCCTGAAGATAGCACCACTATCGAGGATGATACAACTGTTCCTGATGAAAGCACTACAGCTGGATCTGGTGATGATACTACCGTAGAGGATTCAACACCGATTCCTGAAGAAACTTCTACAGCTGCCCAAAACCCAACTCCTGAAGATAGCACCACTATCGAGGATGCTACAACTGTTCATGACGAAAACACTACATCTGGATCTGGAGATGCCACTACCGTAGAGGATTCAACACCGATTCCTGAAGAAACTACTACAGCTGCCCAGGACTCAAGTCCTGAAGATACCACCACTATCGAGGATGCTACAACTGTTCCTGATGAAAACACTACAGCTGGATCTGGTGATGATACTACCGTAGAGGATTCAACACCAATTCCTGAAGAAACTACTACAGCTGCCCAGGACTCAACTCCTGAAGATAGCACCACTATCGAGGATGATACAACTGTTCCTGATGAAAACACTACAGCTGGATCTGGTGATGATACTACCGTAGACGATTCAACACCGATTCCTGAAGAAACTACTACAGCTGCCCAAGACCCAACTCCTGAAGATAGTACCACTATCGAGGATGCTACAACTGTTCCTGACGAAAACACTACATCTGGATCTGGAGATGCCACTACCGTAGAGGATACAACACCGATTCCTGGACATGATACTACCGTAGAGGGTACAACTGCGATTCCTGACGAAACTACTACAGCTGCCCAGGACTCAACTCCTGAAGATAGCACCACTATCGAGGATGCTACAACAGTTTCTGATGAAAACACTACAGCTGGATCTGAAGATGATACTACCGTAGAGGATTCAACACCGATTCCTGAAGAAACTACCACAGCTGGCCAGGACTCAACTCCTGAAGATAGCACCACTATCGAGGATGCTACCACTGTTCCTGATGAAAACACTACAGATGGATCTGGTGATGATACTACCGTAGAGGATTCAACACCGATTCCTGAAGAAACTACTACAGCTGCCCAGGACCCAACTCCTAAAAATAGCACCACTATCGAGGATGCTACAACTGTTCCTGACGAAAACACTACATCTGGATCTGGAGATGCCACTACCGTAGAGGATTCAACACCGATTCCTGAAGAAACTACTACAGCTGCCCAGGACTCAACTTCTGAAGATACCACCACTACCGAGGATGCTACAACTGCTCCTGACGAAAACACTACAGCTGGATCTGAAGATAACACTACCGTAGAGGATTCAACACTGATTCCTGACGAAACTACCACAGCTGCCCAGGACCCAACTCCTGAAGATAGCACCACTATCGAGGATGCTACAACTGTTCCTGATGAAAACTCTACAGCTGGATCTGGTGATGATACTAACGTAGAGGATTCAACACCGATTCCTGAAGAAACTACTACAGCTGCCCAGGACCCAACTCCTGAAGATAGCACCACTATCGAGGATGCTACAACTGTTCCTGACGAAAACACTACATCTGGATCTGGAAATGACACTACCGTAGAGGATTCAACACCGATTCCTGACGAAACTACCACAGCTGGCCAGGACTCAACTCCTGAAGATAGCACCACTATCGAGGATGCTACCACTGTTCCTGATGAAAACACTACAGCTGGATCTGGAGATGATACTAGCGTAGAGGATTCAACACCGATTCCTGACGAAACTACCACAGGTGCCCAGGACTCAACTCCTGAAGATAGCACCACTATCGAGGATGCTACAACTGTTCCTGATGAAAACACTACAGCTGGATCTGGAGATGATACTACCGTAGAGGATTCAACAGCGATTCCTGACGAAACTACCACAGCTGCCCAGGACTCAACTCCTGGAGATAGCACCACTATCGAGGATGCTACAACTGTTCCTGATGAAAACACTACAGCTGGATCTGGTGATGATACTACCGTAGAGGATTCAACACCGATTCCTGAAGAAACTACTACAGCTGGCCAGGACTCAAGTCCTGAAGATAGCACCACTATCGAGGATGCTACAACTGTTCCTGATGAAAACACTACAGCTGGATCTGGTGATGATACTACCGTAGAGGATTCAACACCGATTCCTGAAGAAACTACTACAGCTGGCCAGGACTCAAGTCCTGAAGATAGCACCACTATCGAGGATGCTACAACTGTTCCTGATGAAAACACTACAGCTGGATCTGGTGATGATACTACCGTAGAGGATTCAACACCGATTCCTGAAGAAACTACTACAGCTGGCCAGGACTCAACTCCTGAGGATAGCACCACTATCGAGGATGCTACAACTGTTCCTGATGAAAACACTACAGCTGGATCTGGTGATGATACTACCGTAGAGGATTCAACACCGAATTCTGAAGAAACTACTACAGTTGCCCAGGACTCAACTCCAGAAGATAGCACCACTATCGAGGATGCTACAACTGTTCCTGATGAAAACACTACAGCTGGATCTGGTGATGATACTACCGTAGAGGATTCAACACCGATTCCTGAAGAAACTACTACAGCTGGCCAGGACTCAAGTCCTGAAGATAGCACCACTATCGAGGATGCTACAACTGTTCCTGATGAAAACACTACAGCTGGATCTGGTGATGATACTACCGTAGAGGATTCAACACCGATTCCTGAAGAAACTACTACAGCTGGTCAGGACACAACTCCTGAAGATAGCACCACTATCGAGGATGCTACAACTGTTCCTGATGAAAACACTACAGCTGGATCTGGTGATGATACTACCGTAGAGGATTCAACACCGATTCCTGAAGAAACTACTACAGCTGGCCAGGACTCAACTCCTGAGGATAGCACCACTATCGAGGATGCTACAACTACTCCTGACGAAAACACCACAGTTGGACCTGAAGATGACACTACCGTAGAGGATTCAACACCGATTCCCGACGAAACTACCACAGCTGGCCAGGACTCAACTCCTGAGGATAGCACCACTATCGAGGATGCTACAACTATTCCTGATGAAAACACTACAGCTGGATCTGGAGATGATACTACCGTAGAGGATTTAACACCGATTCCTGAAGAAACTACTACAGCTGCCCAGGACTCAACTCCTGAAGATACCACCACTATCGAGGATGCTACAACTGTTCCTGATGAAAGCACTACAGCTGGATCTGGTGATGATACTACCGTAGAGGATTCAACAGTGATTCCTGAAGAAACTACTACAGCTGGCCAGGACTCAACTCCTGAAGATAGCACCACTATCGAGGATGCTACAACTGTTCCTGATGAAAACACTACAGCTGGATCTGGAGATGATACTTCCGTAGAGGATTCAACACCGATTCCTGAAGAAACTACTACAGTTGCCCAGGACTCAACTCCTGAGGATAGCACCACTATCGAGGACGCTACAACTGTTCCTGATGAAAACACTACAGCTGGATCTGGTGATGATACTACCGTAGAGGAGTCAACACCGATTCCTGAAGAAACTACTACAGCTGCCCAGGACTCAACTCCTGAAGATAGCACCACTATCGAGGATGATACAACTGTTCCTGATGAAAGCACTACAGCTGGATCTGGTGATGATACTACCGTAGAGGATTCAACACCGATTCCTGAAGAAACTTCTACAGCTGCCCAAAACCCAACTCCTGAAGATAGCACCACTATCGAGGATGCTACAACTGTTCATGACGAAAACACTACATCTGGATCTGGAGATGCCACTACCGTAGAGGATTCAACACCGATTCCTGAAGAAACTACTACAGCTGCCCAGGACTCAAGTCCTGAAGATACCACCACTATCGAGGATGCTACAACTGTTCCTGATGAAAACACTACAGCTGGATCTGGTGATGATACTACCGTAGAGGATTCAACACCAATTCCTGAAGAAACTACTACAGCTGCCCAGGACTCAACTCCTGAAGATAGCACCACTATCGAGGATGATACAACTGTTCCTGATGAAAACACTACAGCTGGATCTGGTGATGATACTACCGTAGACGATTCAACACCGATTCCTGAAGAAACTACTACAGCTGCCCAAGACCCAACTCCTGAAGATAGTACCACTATCGAGGATGCTACAACTGTTCCTGACGAAAACACTACATCTGGATCTGGAGATGCCACTACCGTAGAGGATACAACACCGATTCCTGGACATGATACTACCGTAGAGGGTACAACTGCGATTCCTGACGAAACTACTACAGCTGCCCAGGACTCAACTCCTGAAGATAGCACCACTATCGAGGATGCTACAACAGTTTCTGATGAAAACACTACAGCTGGATCTGAAGATGATACTACCGTAGAGGATTCAACACCGATTCCTGAAGAAACTACCACAGCTGGCCAGGACTCAACTCCTGAAGATAGCACCACTATCGAGGATGCTACCACTGTTCCTGATGAAAACACTACAGATGGATCTGGTGATGATACTACCGTAGAGGATTCAACACCGATTCCTGAAGAAACTACTACAGCTGCCCAGGACCCAACTCCTAAAAATAGCACCACTATCGAGGATGCTACAACTGTTCCTGACGAAAACACTACATCTGGATCTGGAGATGCCACTACCGTAGAGGATTCAACACCGATTCCTGAAGAAACTACTACAGCTGCCCAGGACTCAACTTCTGAAGATACCACCACTACCGAGGATGCTACAACTGCTCCTGACGAAAACACTACAGCTGGATCTGAAGATAACACTACCGTAGAGGATTCAACACTGATTCCTGACGAAACTACCACAGCTGCCCAGGACCCAACTCCTGAAGATAGCACCACTATCGAGGATGCTACAACTGTTCCTGATGAAAACTCTACAGCTGGATCTGGTGATGATACTAACGTAGAGGATTCAACACCGATTCCTGAAGAAACTACTACAGCTGCCCAGGACCCAACTCCTGAAGATAGCACCACTATCGAGGATGCTACAACTGTTCCTGACGAAAACACTACATCTGGATCTGGAAATGACACTACCGTAGAGGATTCAACACCGATTCCTGACGAAACTACCACAGCTGGCCAGGACTCAACTCCTGAAGATAGCACCACTATCGAGGATGCTACCACTGTTCCTGATGAAAACACTACAGATGGATCTGGTGATGATACTACCGTAGAGGATTCAACACCGATTCCTGACGAAACTACCACAGCTGGCCAGGACTCAACTCCTGAAGATAGCACCACTATCGAGGATGCTACCACTGTTCCTGATGGAAACACTACAGATGGATCTGGTGATGATACTACCGTAGAGGATTCAACACCGATTCCTGAAGAAACTACTACAGCTGCCCAGGACCCAACTCCTAAGGATAGCACCACTATCGAGGATGCTACAACTGTTCCTGATGAAAACACTACAGCTGGATCTGGTGATGATACTACCGTAGAGGATTCAACACCGATTCCTGAAGAAACTACTACAGCTGCCCAGGACCCAACTCCTGAAGATAGCACCACTATCGAGGATGCTACAACTGTTCCTGATGAAAACACTACAGCTGGATCTGGAGATGACACTACCGTAGAGGATTCAACACCGATTCCCGACGAAACTACCACAGCTGTCCAGGACTCAACTCCTGAAGATGGCACCACTAACGAGGATGCTACAACTGTTTCTGACGAAAACACTACAGCTGGATCTGGAGATGACACTACCGTAGAGGATTCAACACCGATTCCTGACGAAACTACCACAGCTGGCCATGACTCAACTCCTGAGGATAGCACTACTATCGAGGACGCTACAACTGCTCCTGATGAAAACACTACAGCTAGATCTGGAGATGATACTAGCGTAGAGGATTCAACATCGATTCCTGACAAAACTACCACAGCTACCACTCCTGAAGATAGCACCACGATCGAGGATGCTACAACTGCTCCTGACGAAAACACTACAGCTGGATCTGAAGATGACACTACCGTAGAGGATTCAAAACCGATTCCTGAGGAAACTACCACAGCTACCACTCCTGAATATACCACCACTGTCGAGGATGCTACAACTGCTCCTGACGAAAACACTACAGCTGGATCTGAAGATGACACTACCGTAGAGGATTCAACAGCGATTCCTGACGAATCAACCACAGAGGCAAAGGACTTAACTCCTGAAGATAGCACCACCATCAAGGATGCTACAACAATTACTGATGAAAACACTACAGCTGGATCTGGGAATGACACTACCGTAGAGTATTCAACCCCGATTCCCGAAGAAACTACTACAGCTGCCCAGGACTCAACTCCTGAAGATAGCTCCACTATTGAGGAAGCTACAACTGTTCCTGATGAAAACACTACAGCTGGATCTGGAGATGACTCTACCGTAGAGGATTCAACACCGATTCCTGACGAAACTACCGCAGCTACCCAGGACTTAACGACTTTTCCTGAAGATAGCACCACTAGCGCGGGTGCTACAACTGTTCCAGACCAAAACACTACAAAGAATACACCAGAAGATAGCTCTACCATAGAGGATGCTACAAAGCTTCCAAACGAAACTTCTACAGCTACACCTAGAGACAGCACAACAAAACAGTATTCAACGTCGCCAGAAGAAAGTACTACTGCAAGTGAGATTACTACTAATAAAGACAGCACTACGGTTGACGATTCTACTTTGCTTCCTGCTGAAAGCAGTACAACTAATCAAGTTTCTACTAAAGGACCAGAAGAAAATACTACAGCGGACATAAGCCCTACAAAGAATCCAGGAGAAAGCACCACGATTGAGGGTTCTCCACCGAATCCGGATAAAAATACCACAGCAACAGGCGATACGACGAGCAGTTCGACACCGTCTTTTTCAAGTTCCACAAGCACTGGGTCCGCAACCACTTCTTTCCCTGCCACCACGAATTCAAATAAACCACTGCCTTCTTGCAGTAGTGGGTATCAATATATACCCCATCCAAAGAATTGTCATAAATTCATCCAATGTAGTAATGGAGAAGAATTAATTATGGATTGCCCAGGTAATCTTTATTGGGACTACCAGAAATTATATTGCTGTGGAGATCCAAGTGCTTGCTACAATAATGATGAGAGCTCGAATCCAGAGGAAAATATTTGCGGCCCTGGTGTGGATTTTCTAGCTCACCCAACCGACTGTACCAAATATTTTCAATGTAGTAACGGCGAGGCATTTGAGCGCAAGTGCCCCGATCCTTTGTACTGGAACCCTGAGATAAAAGTCTGCGATTGGTCAAATAAATACTGCAATAATCTACGAGCAAGTGAATCGATTTCCTGCGCAGTGGGTATGAATTTTGATGTTTATCAAAACGATTGCTCAAAGTACATCAAATGCTTCGGTTTGAGAGGTATTGTGATGAGTTGTGATGCAGGGCTTTACTGGAACCCCATTAGTAATGTGTGCGAAAAGTCACAGCGGTTCTGCACTTAACTGTAAGTTCTATTGTAATATCATTGTTATAATTCTAATGTTTTCGTTACAGAATCATTGCAGGTATCTTCTTCGCCAGAGTACTAACTGAAACCAACAAAATAGGCAGGCGAAATAAATAGTAAAATTGTTATAAATATATTTATTCTGTTAGGATTACGTTCTGTTTACAAATAACAAATGTATTAAATAGTTATTGTTCAAGCATGAACACTAGGGCGGACCAAAAATGAAATCTTGTTCTCCCTCCCTCACGTGTATGTTTGCCCATGTTACGACTAAACAAGCCAGCGATAAGACTAGAATAATAATTTCATGTTACCTACTGAAAAGAATACTGTTTAGAATAAAATGAGTTGTTAAACAGAACTCAACGGTGAAGGCTGTTTTTCCTTATTACGGATAACCCTTACAGTTATTAAATACGAAATGTAAACATTCCTAGTAAACAGACCTAATGTCCGGTTACATGTTGATATATTTATATGTTGCAAAAAAATATATATGCACAGAATCGTTTCAATTTCATTAGGTTTTGAAGATGTTCTACATAGATTTGCTTTTCGGATGCATGCAAATTTGTTTCAACAGACTTAGGCACTTTGTTACTTTATTGTACCCTGTAAATGGATAAATAAAAAGAATATCCCAATTTACAAAAAGCTGTCAGAGGACTTTTGCCTTTGTCATATTATTCTAATAGTCTAATAAAACAAAATAAAAAAAATAAAGCAAATATTCATATTTTAGTATGATAATAAAGTAGCTGGTAGATTTAATCAATGGGTATACTAAAGCCCTAATACTTGCTTCTTAAAATTCATAGGCTTTTTGAAGATCTTATCAAACTAGGTTTCAATTAAAAATATTACTAGCCTTGAAACACACCCCATACAGACGATGGGACTTTAAAATGGAAATTTAATGCTTGAGTGCTTAAATTGACACATGGTTTCATAGAAGCTTTCAGCAGATAAGAGCATATAGCCGAACTCAACATTGAATGGGGGCTTGTAGAGGCTGCTCTATATATAGATATGACGATGGACAGTCTAACCAGAAAGCTAAAGCCAATTTTTGGTCTCAAAGGTTATCAAAGTGAATTACTTCCGCCAATTTTTGATTTGTAGAAATACATAAGTGGATTGGGAAATCGAAAACTAAATGGATTAGCCGTTCAAGAGACTCAAAGCGACCAAAATGAGTCGGGGGCAGGGACACACTTAAAAATTGAGCCAAGAGATATACAATTGAGTATCTTTATATGCTAATAAATGCCAGAACATTTCCTTAAAATGGGTCAAAAGAGTCCCCCATCCGTTGGCGAAGACTCTGATGTTGTAATGCCCCCAGAAACTCATTTGTCGAAGGGGACTTCAGCGCCGCCCCTTCCATAGCCAGGCGACCAAGTGATCGATTGACACGATCAAAGCGCTGATATGTAATGGAATAGACACTCGAATGAATGGCACTGGCGACGAGTCCCAAGCTTGGGGCTCTATGTGCCTCGATCCGACTCACAGATACCAGCAATCTGTGCTGGTGTGGATCCTACATAAATATTCATGCTGCCGCTGGCTAAATGCAAATGTATTGAAAATTGCTCGCCTTCAATGAATTTGAGTTCTGCTCAAGCTCTAGAGTTTTGAGGCTCGGACAGCCCAGTGTTATTCGCAATCCAGCAGTTGTCGCGATCGGAAGCAAATCGGAAAATCTCCCTTGGAATCCTATAACACACAGGCGAAGAAGTATGTGCTCAAGGAATATACTCCGAAGCAAGGACTTATAGTTCTGTGGATAAAGGATAAATTCAGAAATAAACTTAAAGACGGATTAAGATAATCCAACTTAACAACAGTGATCTGCTCAAAGTTAGAATCCGTTTTTGAATTTTAACTTCAGAAAAATGTGTCTCTTAAAGTTTGTGCTGTGCTGTGACTGTTAAAATAAGTTTAAAAAGCTTATTATTTTAATATATGAAATAATCGAAAATGGTGTAACGATAAAAAATCTATTATCCTTATCCTTTTATGGCATGTGTACTTATTCAAGATATCCTTTAAGGACGAACATTTGTTTAATTAAAAAAAGCTAAACAAAAAAAAATGAAAGTGACAAAACTTAAAAGTGAGAGATAGTAAAAGGATAATATCTTTTGAATTCCTTTTAATTGTTTTCCCATTCCCAAGATAAGCTTCAAGGACGGAAGCATTTATTTTTAAAAAGTATTAATAAAAACTAATCTGCCTTAGTGATTACATCATTTCTAAAACTGAAATACATCTCAAGATCTATTGCTTTTTTGGCATCTAACAGCATCGTGCGTGCTCATTTAAAAGAAAAGTGATAACCCCTGAAAGTGACGGACAAGAAAACACAGAGAAGGAGTATAAACTAACAATAACACGCACGTATATAATGTGTTGATAATACAATTTAATTTCATCTTACAGTTTGCTGGCTGTGTTGCGACGACGTCGACGCATTTCAATTGGATTCAGAGTTTGATTTATTGAAATGTTGCCCTTTCGCTTGGGCCTGCTACTTGGCGCCGTGCTTCTAGTGGCAAGCGCAAATGGAGCTGCCATCGTAAGTTTCCGAATTGTTAATGAATCCCAAGAATTCGCGTTTGTGTGATTGCCTGTGTCACTGGCTGAATGGAACTAGGGTAGTTCAATGCAATTGAACTCGGCTCGAATTGTAGGCGATAAGACCTAATTTGACCAAGGTCAGTTTTAGAACCAGCATCGAATTGGGGACACTTGCAGACACATGTCGAATGCTTTACGATAAGGCTGGCATTAGCATTGAACTTAAATCGATTCAATAACTTTCAGGAAAATGTGTCAACAATCGAAGATGAGGTTACTGGTCTGACCGATTTGCAAAGAGATAAAAGAAGCGGCAGAGGCTAGTAAGTGATTTTCGAAAATATTTAAGCCTTGAAAAGTAAAAACTATCTTTGTTAGTTCAAGGGGACAAACCCAGTCTCAGTACTTAAATTTCGGTAAGCCCGAACAGGATGGAAAGGCCGAGGCGGAGGCCAACGAAAATGGATCTCGCTCAACTGTCTGTAAGTTCGGTTCGATTATCTTCTATAGTCACCCTATTGACCGATCTACTACAATTTTAGCTGGCACCCATGGAATGGGTCAGGCCCAAAGTCAGTTCTCGTCCGGAGACTGCAACGGGTGTTCTGGCTACCAAACGGATTACCCTTCCTCCGGTAGAATTCTGGATGCAAGTGGGTCGGCTGGAGGCGGCAGACCCGATTCAATTATAAGCCTACCCGGTGCAGGTCAAGGTAGAACGTCATCCTTATTATATGTACACAAAATCTGATTATTACCAATTTCCTTATTTCTAATGCAGGTACCCTAGGAGGAGTGGGAGTGGGAGGACAACCAGGAATTGGTGGTCAGCTGGGAATTGGAGGACAGCCAGGAAGTGGCGGACAACAGGGTGTTGGTGGCTCTCAGCCTGGATACGGAGCTCAACCTGGAGTAGGCGGACAGACAGGAATCGGTGGCGCACTACCAGGATACGGAAGTCAGCCTGGAGTTGGCGGGCAGACAGGAGTCGGTGGAGGACAACCAGGATACGGAAGTCAGCCTGGAGTTGGCGGACAGACAGGAGTCGGTGGAGGACAACCAGGATACGGAAGTCAGCCTGGAGTAGGCGGACAGACAGGAGTCAGTGAAGGACATCCAGGATACGGAAGTCAGCCTGGAGTTGGAGGACAGACAGGAGTCAGTGGAGGACAACCAGTATACGGAAGTCAGCCTGGAGTTGGCGGACAGACAGGAGTCGGTGGAAGACAACCAGGATACGGAAGTCAGCCTGGAGTTGGCGGACAGACAGGAGTCGGTGGAGGACAACCAGGATACGGAAGTCAGCCTGGAGTAGGCGGACAGACAGGAGTCAGTGAAGGACATCCAGGATACGGAAGTCAGCCTGGAGTTGGAGGACAGACAGGAGTCAGTGGAGGACAACAAGTATACGGAAGTCAGCCTGGAGTTGGCGGACAGACGGGAGTCAGTGGAGGACAACCAGGATACGGAAGTCAGCCTGGAGTAGGCGGACAGACGGGAGTCAGTGGAGGACATCCAGGATACGGAAGTCAGCCTGGAGTTGGAGGACAGACAGGAGTCAGTGGAGGACAACCAGTATACGGAAGTCAGCCTGGAGTTGGCGGACAGACAGGAGTCGGTGGAGGACAACCAGGATACGGAAGTCAGCCTGGAGTAGGCGGACAGACAGGAGTCAGTGGAGGACAACCAGTATACGGAAGTCAGCCTGGAGTTGGCGGACAGACAGGAGTCGGTGGAGGACATCCAGGATACGGAAGTCAGCCTGGAGTTGGAGGACAGACAGGAGTCAGTGGAGGACAACCAGTATACGGAAGTCATCCTGGAGTTGGCGGACAGACAGGAGTCGGTGGAGGACAACCAGGATACGGAAGTCAGCCTGGAGTAGGCGGACAGACAGGAGTCAGTGGAGGACATCCAGGATACGGAAGTCAGCCTGGAGTTGGAGGACAGACAGGAGTCAGTGGAGGAAAACCAATATACGGAAGTCAGCCTGGAGTTGGAGGACAGACAGGAGTCAGTGGAGGACAACCAGTATACGGAAGTCAGCCTGGAGTTGGCGGACAGACGGGAGTCAGTGGAGGACATCCAGGATACGGAAGTCAGCCTGGAGTTGGAGGACAGACAGGAGTCAGTGGAGGACAACCAGGATACGGAAGTCAGCCTGGAGTAGGCGGACAGACAGGAGTCAGTGGAGGACATCCAGGATATGGAAGTCAGCCTGGAGTTGGAGGACAGACAGGAGTCAGTGGAGGACAACCAGGATACGGAAGTCAGCCTGGAGTAGGCGGACAGACAGGAGTCAGTGGAGGACATCAAGGATACGGAAGTCAGCCTGGAGTTGGAGGACAGACAGGAGTCAGTGGAGGACAACCAGTATACGGAAGTCAGCCTGGAGTTGGCGGACAGACAGGAGTCGGTGGAGGACATCCAGGATACGGAAGTCAGCCTGGAGTTGGAGGACAGACAGGAGTCAGTGGAGGACAACCAGTATACGGAAGTCAGCCTGGAGTTGGCGGACAGACAGGAGTCGGTGGAGGACAACCAGGTTTTGGCTCTCAACCTGGTGTTAGTGGCCAGACAGGAATCGGAGGCGGACAACCCACAATGGAAGGTCCGCTTGGCAAGTTATCTGGATATGGATATGGAACTCAACCTGGAGTTGGTGGACAGACAGAAGTCGGAAGCGGTCAACCTGGATATAGAACTCAGCCAGGAGTGGGTGGACAAACGGGAGTTGGCGGAGAACAACCATGGTATGGAGCTCAACCTGGAGTTGGTGGATCTCCAGGATATGGAACTCAACCAGGAGTCGGAGGCGTTCAACCAGGATACGGAACTCAACCAGGAGTTGGTGTATCTCCTGGATACGGACCTCAGTCAGGAGTGGGTGGTCAGACAGGAGTTGGTGGCGGACAGCCAGGAGTTGGTGGATCGCCAGGATATGGAACTCAACCAGGAGTCGGAGGCGTTCATCCAGGATACGGAACTCAACCTGGAGTAGGTGGATCTCCAGGATACGGACCTCAGCCTGGAGTGGGTGGTCAGACAGGAGTTGGTGGCGGACAACCAGGCTTCGGAACTCAGCCTGGAGTTGGTGGATCTCCAGGATACGGACGTCAGACAGGAGTTGGTGGCGGACAGCCAGGAGTTGGTGGATCGCCAGGATATGGAACTCAACCAGGAGTCGGAGGCGTTCAACCAGGATACGGAACTCAACCAGGAGTTGGTGCATCTCCTGGATACGGACCTCAGTCAGGAGTGGGTGGTCAGACAGGAGTTGGTGGCGGACAGCCAGGAGTTGGTGGATCGCCAGGATATGGAACTCAACCAGGAGTCGGAGGCGTTCAACCAGGGTACGGATCTCAACCTGGAGTGGGTGGACAAACTGGAGTCGGCGGAGGACAACCTGGCTTCGGAACTCAACCTGGAGTTGGTGGATCTCCAGGATACGGAACTCAGCCCGGAGTGGGTGGTCAGATAGGAGTTGGTGGCGGACAGCCAGGAGTTGGTGGATCGCCAGGATATGGAACTCAACCAGGAGTCGGAGGCGTTCAACCAGGGTACGGATCTCAACCTGGAGTTGGTGGATCTCCAGGATACGGACGACAGACAGGAGTGGGTGGTCAGACAGGAGTTGGTGGCGGACAGCCAGGCATCGGAACTCAACCTGGAGTTGGTGGATCGCTAGGATATGGAACTCAACCAGGAGTCGGAGGCGTTCAAACAGGATACGGATCTCAACCTGGAGTGGGTGGACAAACTGGAGTCGGCGGAGGACAACCTGGCTTCGGAACTCAACCTGGAGTTGGTGGATCTCCAGGATACGGAACTCAGCCCGGAGTGGGTGGTCAGATAGGAGTTGGTGGCGGACAGCCAGGCTTTGGGACTCAACCTGGTGTTGGTGGATTGCCAGGATATGGAACTCAACCAGGAGTCGGAGGCGTTCAAACAGGATACGGATCTCAACCTGGAGTTGGTGGACAGTCAGGAGTCGGAGGCGGACAACCCGGAGTAGGTGGATTGCCTGGATATGGAATTCAGCCAGGAGCAGGCAGCCAACCGGGATACGGATCTCAGCCTGGAATTGCCAGTACGACAGGCCCTGGAGTTGGTCAGCCAGGGTATGAAACCCAGACAGGTCAAGTTGGAGCACCTGGACGCTACACAGATGGCACAGGAGTTGTTTCTGGTGGTGTGGGAGGCACTGGTGGTGTTGGAGGCACAGGTGGCGTTGGAGGCACTGGTGGAGTTGGTAAGTACCTGACGAAGTTTAAAGCACTTAGACAAAGTTATTAATCAAAGGTATTCCAGTTCCTGTAGGCGCTGGTGGAGCTGACGACGCCTACTCCCAAGCCGAATCTACTATTGGCGATGGACAGGCTTCGGCGAGTGCTCAGGGCCAGAAGAACGGAGGCACGGCAAAGACCCAGGTGTCTGGAACATACAGCTCGGGCGGAACCTTTAGCGCCAGTGCGATGACATCGGATGCGGATCGCGCGGCCAGTGCCCAGGTCACCGGAAACGCCGATGGCGCCGTGAGTCAGTCGCAGGGATCAGGAGGTCCAGCCCAGTCGCAGGCCCAGGTGCAGGTGGCCAAGGACGGCGGCACCAAGGCCTCATCGCAGAGCGGTGGTATTATCCAACAGAGCCAGAGCGAGGTGCATGCAAACGACAAGGGTGGTCTTGCGGATGCCCAGTCAAGCGGACCTGGACAAACGTCATCCCAAGCTCAGATCGGCTTCCGTCCCGGTCAGGAGGCCAATCCGCCAGCGGCCAATGGGGGTGGCCAGGCCTCGTCCTCATCTGGTACCCACTCAAGTCAGAGTAGCTCCCAGATTCACGGAACCTCCAGGTAGTAAAATCTAAAATTGGTAGTACAAGAGGGTCTTATAATGGGGTTCGTATTTCAGCTTTGGCGTTTCGTACCATGGTGCTGCACAATCCGCGTCTGGAACCAAGGAGCAGGTGGCGACTTACAGGGAACAAAACCGGGAACTCTTTAACACCATCAGTCAGTTCGGCAACAATGGCAATGCGTGAGTAGCTCCACACTTAAATAACCAAAAATCACTATTTATTTTAATACGTACGAATTCGTTCTTGAAAGTTATAAGACGCTTTTAAATTTGGCAGAAAATGTTTTAAATTTTTGTTTGAAATCAATCTTTAGTTTTTGGAGTTTTTAAGGGCAGGTTTTTTATTTAATGTGACCTTAATTTGCTAATCCTTTTAGGTTATACCAGCTTTCAGAAAATGTACAATCTCTTGTCAATCTCTAGGTAAACAAACCTTATTTATTATTTATAGAATTGTGAAATTTATGTTTTTGTAATTTTTAAAAGAATAAATCTTCAAAAACCTTGACAAAAGCATTTATTTACAAGTGGAGTACGAGATATTGTAAGTCCTTAAGTTTTTGTAATAGCTTTTTTAAATAGACTGAAGAATTTCCGAAAAAAATAAACTTTTCACATTATTCAATCGCAAATTTGTATATATTTTTATAAATTTTCTAAACTTTTAGAGTTACTGATCGTGCTGATACTGTCTACAGTGGACCATCGCTCACTGAAGAATCCGACAGTGTGCCAGAAGTCCAGTTAAAGTCAAACAAGCCCAAAGAAGCTGAGCAGGCTGAAAGCAAGGTAGACCAGCCAGAGCCCATTCATTACGAGGACGATACCGAGGAATACGATGACGATGAGTACTACAACGAGAAACCAGTGAAAATAGAGGAAAGCCCCAAGTCGGATAGCATTGTTAGGCAGCTAGAACCGACTCCGAAACCCAAGGTCTACGAACAGTCATCGCCCTCGCAAAGTCAAAAGGCGGTCGTGGCACCGGGATCAAGTGATAAGTTCCAAGTGGTCCAAAAGCAGAACGGTAAAGTCATCACCCATACTGAACCTTCGACCACCGAAGCCGTACCTCCAGGATTCCGAGGCACCGTCAATGTGGAAAAGAAGTTCCACACCAAGGCTCTGGAGTTGCCAACTCCCAGTAGGGTGGAGATTACTCCCGATGCCAAAGAAGAGGGTCCGGTTCGAGGTGACAAGCCGATTCGACGTGCTCCGGACAGTTATGTCACCGTCACCAAGTCGGTGACCGGCAGCATGGACAACAGCAAGAGTCCTCCTCAAGAGAACAAGAACTTCCAGTCCACATACTATACAAAGTCCTCGACTTGCGGCTACTTCACCTTTTCCTGCAACATTGTTTACGGTCCCAATGGAAGGAACAAAATCTGCCGGCCCAAGGCACCTACCAATGGCAAGTGCTAGGGGGTCATATTTTAAAACTCCCATGCGCCAGCTATATTATAAATAATAGATCAGTTCCAAAGGGGCTCAATTGTAGAACAGCTTAACCAACTGCCATCTACAAACACCAATTTGTATTTTGATGCAGCTTGACCCAAAGCATTTAAGTGTTTTTCGCATGTAATTTTAGATTTCACTGTCATTTCTTAAATATTTTGTACGATTTGCCACTGTAATTAATATTTAATAACAAATCACAAAAAAACAAGTTGTTTATATGATTTCTTTATTAAAAACTGGTTGTGGGATGGTCTTTTGGATGGTATATTAAACACAAATTTTATCGCAGGTTAGTAGGTAAGAGTTCCAATAGAGGTACTGCGGACAGGACTTCACAAAGGGCAGATAATCGCAAACAATGAAGCGTGTACAGTCACCCGAGAAAGCTATTAACTGCCCGAGTTTTTCTTTACAAACTTGGGAAAGATTGTTGAATTCTGGTTTTTTGACCGGTGCCGGAATGGGAATAGGTGCGATTTGTATGGGCTTACTCCAATTTGGCACCGCATTGGTGGAGGAACAATCAGCGGTAGTTTGCAGATCGCATCGTTGCAGTTTCGAGTTCCAATGAAATTCCGGAGGACAGGTCAGCAATCGGGTTTCATAAAATCTATGGCAGTCATAAGGAACAGCCTCTCTTACCACACTTTGTGCCATGCAAAAGCCACAGAGCAACAAACATAGTGAGATAGTCAGCCAAAATGGTTGGGCCACTGAAAAAATTCAGAATGTTATGGTAGTATAAAAAAATATCGTTAGTAAGTATTACTTTTTTATTGTTTCGCGGAAAATCACCAGTTAATCTGACACTCATTACCCGTTCGATTTTGTTCTTATATATCGTTGTTAAACAAATACACATTATTGACAAATTGATTACGCTTCTTTAGATTCAGGGGAAGTTGAATTATCAGCTTTCATATCACATCTGTCCTTGATAATGAAGATACGCTTGACTGGTCAAGTGGAAGAGAAAATAACGCGTAAGAATAATAATACCTCTAAAGTGTCTGTAACCCAAAGCCTTAGGTATACGATCAAAAACATAAATTCTTAAACATAAAAACTTAAATTGAAGAAAATGAAAAAGAATATGTCTCCAAAATTATTTCCGCCAGTCAAGAACTAACGATACTTCCATTTGATCGCATGGTTTATCTTAAACTCCTTAGTGTGCTGCTCATTGCCATTCTTTGCTTAAGCAGAATGTTGTACGATAAACAAAAGTTAAGTACTTCAACTTGATAAAGATTCACAGCATATTGTGGTATAAAAGGGCTTGCACCTAGGGCTAACATTCACTTTTCAGTTCGCTTTCACTGGACTCATACAAAAGTAAGACAAGTGTGAAAAACAATTAATTCTTAAACATTATTAAACCCAACTTTTCTCAGTGTGGCTAGGATCTGTTTTCGTCTCCGTAGTCTTAGTGGCTGCCTTGTCAACAGTTGACAGTGAGGAGTACAATATTGGTGCCGTAAGTGTTTCAACAGATTGAAATCGACATTGTCTAAGAAAGTGTTATATACAGCCTATAGCTACCGTTTCGCCTCCTTTGTTTGAAAAATGCCCACCGTACGACGATCCCAACCACCTTGTGATGTTGCCGTATCCCAACGACTGTCGCAAATACTACACATGCCAGAGGGGACAGGCCTTTGAGCACCAGTGCCCAGCTAATTTGTACTGGAGCCAGACAACCTATCGATGTGACTATAAGGAGTACTCCAACTGCAATTCCGATGATCCAATTACCAACGATGAGGTGAAATACAGTCCATTTCCCGGTGACTGTAGTCGATTTTACGAGAGCCGTGTCCTTCGGTGTGAGTCAAACTTTCAGTGGAGCTCATTGTATCAACGCTGCGTAGCCCCACAGTATGCCAATTGTCAGGACTCGCCTGTACCTGTGCCATTGCCACCCTACGATCCTACACCCACTGCTGCCACTCCGCCAACTGAAACCTGGACTCCAACGGATTCGAACTACCTACCAATTGATGTTCAGTCTTTGTGCAAAAACAGTGTTTCCAATGCGTACATTCCCTATCCCGCAGACTGCAAGAAGTTCATCCATTGCGGACCAACTGTAACTGTGCTCACCTGTCCAGGCAACTTGTATTGGAATCCAGGACAACTTTCCTGCACTGTATCAACCTCTGGTTGTACCCAGTCCTTTTAGTGGAACGAAACCTAAAAACCACCAAGCGAAAATCATGAAGTTACAACATTTTATTAATTATTCTTATATAAACATACAGTTCAGATAATTTGCATTAAAAATCTACAAAAAAACTTGCAATCATTTTAAAAGACTGCCAAAGAGAAGAGCTTGAGTCTTGGGAATCAGTTTTTGTTGACACATTAACTGGAAAAAGGCGGAAGGCATTGCATCCCGCCAACTGAGGATCCATACAGGTCAAAACCGTAGGATTGAAATCCTCGCCCTCGGGACAAGCGTAACCAACCGGGATGGGATACTGACAGACTATGTACTTGCTGCAGTTTCTGGGATAGGGGACCACTGATCCCTCAGCTTTATCCGCACAGAAGCTGTCCGGTGAGGGTGATATGGTTGTTGTTGTTGTTATCGGAATGGTAGGGGTAGTTGTAGCTGGAATAGAACAATTTGCAAACCACGGGGCCATACATCTTTCTAAAGAGGCACTGAACTCCTGACCTTCGCGACAGTTATAGACAATTGGGTTGGGTTGCACACATTGTATAAATTTGGTGCAATCGTCAGGATAGGGAACTAGTTTTCCATCAGGGGCTCCTTCACAAGGATCTGTTATAGGACCTGGAGTACTTTGGGTACTTTGGGTTGTCATCGTTGATAAGTATTCCGTGGTCTCCGTAACCAAAGTGGTGTAAGTTTCCCTACAGGCTTCCGGTGAGACGTTAGGGCCACATTCTCTAGTTAACGGATCAAAAAACTCCTCACTGCTACAGATACCCATCATGTAGGAGGAGTCATCTGTGCAGCTTATAAACCATTGACAATTCTCTTGGTACGGTAAATTATTTCCAGTGTTATTGAAGCATATTGAAGAATCTGGGCTTGGAGTCGTATATCCCGGCGATGAAGTAGTAGTCTCTCCATTTGGACAATCACTCGATTCCCATTCTACGCATTTCTGAAGAGCCTCGTTGAAGAACAAGTCCTCCTGGCAGTAAAATGCTATAGGAACTGGACTTGCACACACTACGTATTTGCTGCAGTCCTCTGGATACTTGGCATAATAGCCATCCCGCTGTCCAGAGCAGATACCTGAAATATCCGGAGGTAAGGTGGTTATTTCTTCAGGATTAGACGTAGATAAAGTTGTATGCCAGGTGGACGAAGGTGTTGTGAGAGGAGAGGTGGCTTGAGTTGTGGGGGAATCGGTGGAAGCTACAGTTTCCTTACATGCTGTTGGAGACACATCAGGGCCACAATTACCGGTTTTGGGATCATACCAGGCGTTATAAATGCAATTGGCCACGTTGGACTCTCCATTACCCATGCACAGAATATATTGCTGGCAGTTTGTCACCAGGGGGTATGAGACTCCCAATTCCTTATCCGCACAAGGATCATTCGAATCCTCGGTTGTAGGAGCATGCGTGGTAGTTGCTAAGGACTCAAGACAAGCGGTGGGAGAAACATTTGGACCACAATCCCCCGTTTTTGGATCGAACCAGGCATTTGTTGGACACCTTGCAGTCGTCGATTGGCCATTATTGAGGCACAAAAGGTACGACTGGCAGTCGGACTTTAATGGGAAGCTGGTACCGAGTTCTTGATCCTCACAGGGATTTTTCTCATTATCTTCCTTTGATGTCGGCGCAACTGTAGTTGAAGGTGATGTCGTAATAATAGGAGTTGTGGTTGTTAGAACAGCCCGGCAAGCTTCTGGTGAAATATTGGGACCGCAATTACCGCTCATTGGATTAAACCAATTGTCAACGGGGCAGGGTAAGATAATATAAGAGTTGTTACCCCAGCAGTAATAGTATTGCTGGCAGTTTTGAGTATCCGGAAAGGAAGTTCCTATTTTTTGACCCTCGCACTTCGTAAAAGACGCCTCGGTAGTCGGTGTTGGATCCAACGGATCTTGGGTAGTAAGGTCGCTATAGCAACGCACATTATCCTTATCATCACAAATTTTCCAATCGGGATTGAAAAGCATATCGGCGGGACAGTGGTAAAGCTCAGTTCGCTGATTTACGCACACGAAGAACTCATTACAATTTTCAGCCGAGGGCAGTAAAGTGTTGTTTTGTATATCCTCACAAGGATTATTCGGTGGTAATTCGGTAGTTGGAGGTGTTGGATATGGCAATGGATCGCAGACGACAGCTTCGGGTGTATCGCAAATATCGAGAGGACTGTTGAAAAGTTTACCACCGGGGCAGTACTCTAAATCAGCGCATGAATTATTGCATGATACATAAGCGCTGCAGTCATAGGGATACTTATAAAATCCATTCGATAAGGATTGGCAAAAGGAGGTATCGGTTTCTGAAGATGTTAGGCACTCTTGGTTAACAGTATTCCATCCAATATAATGGAGCCCACGACTCGATGGGGAATCCACACTTCCTTCACAGATTGGGGTTCCCAAAAGCCAAGTAATTAATAGTAACACAGAACACTCTACGAACAAAAACAAATGTTTTTAGGTTCATGGTTTTGTTTAATTTAGGTTTAAAAAATGTAAATACCTTTCATTGTAGGCTCTTTTATAAATATTTCTCGAAAACTATTTCGTGTGGTTATGTTCACGTCTTTAAATTAACTGAAATGGGATCTCATTTTTGGCAATTTCTTAGTAATAGCTGTTAGAGGGCTACCAATCAAACGATTATACTTTTCCGCTGATAATGACTAATAAGAATGATAACATTCTTTAAGAAGCTTTGAGAAAATATCAACATACGCATTGGTCAAGAAAATAGACAACAGCTTATTAACAATGAGCGATGATAAACATCTTTCCACTCCTGTTTTCGTTTAAATTAATTTCAGTGATACGAAAAAAGTTCAGCGGTAAAGTTTTCAATAGCGAACTGTCGTATACTTGTAGTATTTCAGTATTTTACATTCGCATTCATTGTCTGATGTTCCTTACCTACTTTTAGGCTTTGTTAGATAAAGTTATATTGGTATTGTTTTTCATCATAAAGGTATATAAATGAAACTTAATAACGTAAAAAAAAATATCTGGACTAACTAAATCACATTATTTCCTAAATTTTTTTCAACTGAATAATTTGTTGAAACCAAGAATTTAACATTGTAGACATTGACATCAAATAAGAAAATTGATAAACATACGTTCATAATTTTATTTCACGATTGTTCTTTCTTAGGCTGCGAACATTACCCCTGGCACACGTACACAACCATAAATGTATCTTTTGTTCAGACGTTACATATGTTTTATATGAACTCTTATCAATTCTCAGTAGGAAACAAGAACGGAAGTTAACTTCGGCAAGCCGAAGTTTTTATACCCTTGCAGTTATAAGAAATAATCAATGTTAGCAACACCATCTTAAATTCTTAAGGATTGTTGCTAGCTTCAGTGATATTTGTGTAAAATTAAATTCGTAATGCTGAAAAGTCAAAATATTCTATATCCCAGAGTAAATGAAAATTCGATCAAAATCAACAAAGCAAAACTTTTATAAAAATAATTATTTCTTTATATCCTGACCGCTTTTTTTGAAAGCTATATGTAAGAGTCGTCCGATTTTTATTAAATTTAATTCTAAATTCCAAAAAGTAGAAAAAATAGTATTCCCAATAGTAAGAGATAATATGTCAAAAAACACCGAAGTTATAATTTGTTTCATATTAATTTCCCACCAATTTTCCGATCGTTCATATGGCAGCTATATGACATAGTCGTCCGATTTTAATAAAAGTAACGGAAACGTTGCAAACTTCTGACTGAAATCATAATACCCTCTGCAAGGGTATAAATATAGACAGTACTCGTACGCGTGCACCTATCTTTCTTGAACGATAAAATCGAATGTTAACACTTTACATTTTGGTAAATCATGCAAATTTCCCACACGAGATAGTCTATAAAAGCGCAGCTCTATGAATGGAAAGTTTCAGTTCGACAAAACACTCGAGAGCGTCAAACAAAATGAAGGTATTCGAACTGCTTTGGGGAATGTTCATATTTCAAGAATGTACAATAGCTGTATTACAAGTATGTTGAAAAACCTCTTTAAAAATATCAAAAATAACAAAGTTACTTTCAAAGAACGGATTTGCTTTCAAGACGTCCCTATGCGAGGGTAAAAATGGTGGACTTTTGCCGATGTTTGGAACTTGCAGAGGATACTATGTGTGTGCAGATGGAAAAGCTGTGATCGGGTCATGTGAACCGAATACCCTGTTTAATCCATTGACTTTGCACTGCGACGATCCCGATAAAGTGGATTGTATTTTCGAAGGAAACGATAGGGACAGTGAAAAGACGTTTAGTGCCGAAAGTGAAGAAGATGATGAGGAAATGATCGTTATGACTGATCCTCCAGTTACTGTCAAGCCAGTGAAAAATCATCGACCCTCCGGACAGGATAAAGGGCTTTTGGATATGACAGATAGAATGTGTGCTGGCAAGAAGGATGGAGTAATGCTTAAAAAGAAGGGATCCTGCCAGGAATACTTTGTTTGCAAGTCGAGGAAACCCCATCTGCGCTCTTGTTCTGGTCAACAACATTTCAGTCCAACGCGACGAATTTGCATGAAGGCTTCAGAAGCAAAGTGTTTAGTTACTTCGCAGGAAACCAAAAAGTTGGATGGAGCTGCCTTAACAGGAGGAGTATGTTCATATGAAAAGCAAAACTTACTCGTAGCCCATCGGAGTGATTGTGGCAAGTTTATGATGTGCAGCAACATGGTGTTCTTGGTGATGGACTGCCCCACTGGTTTGCATTTCAACACCGCCTCCTCGCGATGTGACTATCCCAAAATTGCCAAATGTAAGACGCAGCAAAAGGAAACCAAGAGCAAATCAAAATCGAGAAAGTCTATTCGCAAGGCCAAATCTCGTTTGTTGTAACTCTGCTTTGCAAGACCAATAATAAAGTAGTTGATATTGATCTTTGGTGCCTGATCTAATATTAACTTGAATGTTCAAGATCATATTTTATTGATACCTAATTATAGAGATAGTCACGGGCTCTAGGGCCTGAACTGCTGGTTAAAATAGTACTTTTTATACTATGCTCAAAAAGAGAATGCCAGTTACAAATTGTTTGTTAAAAAACGTTTCTTTTTTTTATTTCCTTTAAGTTGTGTTAAAAGTTCTATTCTAGAATATAAGAGAACATTCAATCATCTCTCTCATCTCATCTCGATAGCTAAAACTTGTAGTTTTTATTATACATACTATTATTTCTGATTATCTTTGACACCTATGAATGTATCTTTGACTTGACAATAAAAAAACCAAAATCATTTTATAAATCGCCCACATATATGCGCTCCATTAAATATTGTTTATTAAAAACATTCAGCATTTAACATTATAGGGCCAATCGCAAGATTCGACCTCCGTATTGTACAGCAGTCCAGAGGAACAGCTGAGGTTGACCTCACACTCGCACTGGCAGATGACATATGCGGAACTGCAGTTGCCTTTGACTGCGGGGAACAGGGTTCCATCTTTCTGACCAACGCATTGTCCGTGGCTCTCGCAATAGGTTCCCGAAGGTCCGGCAGTCGGACCACTTGGCGGGGCAGATCCATCGTCGCAGTCAACATTTTCGGGATAATCGCACTGCTCCGTTTTGTTGTTATATTGCAAATTGTTGGAGCATCTCTGCTCATATTTGTTGCCATCCACACACTGGTAGAAAGCTGAGCAATTGTTCTGGACAGACCAGATGGAGTTGTTAGGTACATCGCAGCAATCAGGATCGCAGGTCTTGGGGATGCACACGTTGTCCTTGTCGACGACACACTCCTTCAGTGTGGCATTGAAGAACTGCGTGGCGGAGCACTTCCTCGCAACATAGGCGCCATTTATGCACTGCAGGTATCCTGCGCAATCAGCAGGATTTTTCTCAACTTCGTTCTCGGTGCACGTTGAGTTGCCATTGCACTCCCCATTATCCTTTTCACAGGCTGATGCGTTCTTGTTCCAGTAATATCCGCTTTGGCAGGACTTGGTCACAAACTTGCCATCTGTGCAAATTTTGTACTGGGTACAGTCGTCCACGGGCTCTTTAGCTCCCTCGGTACAGTTTACGCAAGTTCCATTAGTGTCGACAGTACAGGTGTTATACGCGGTATTGAAGTAGGCTCCTTCGGGGCACTGCTTGCCCACCCAGTTACCATTCAAACATGACAGATAACCTGCGCAGTCAGTGGGGTCCACCTTAATTACACCTTCAGTACACGATGTTCCATTGCCATTGCACTCCCCATTATCCTTTTCACAGGCTGATGCGTTCTTGTTCCAGTAATATCCGCTTTGGCAGGACTTGGTCACAAACTTGCCATCTGTGCAAATTTTGTACTGAGTACAGTCGTCCACGGGCTCTTTAGCTCCCTCGGTACAGTTTACGCAGGTTCCATTAGTGTCGACAGTACAGATGTTATACGCGGTATTGAAGTAAGCTCCTTCGGGGCACTGCTTGCCCACCCAGTTACCATTCAAACATGACAGATAACCTGCGCAATCAGTGGGGTCCACCTTAAGTACACCTTCAGTACATGATGTTCCATTGCCATTGCACTCCCCATTATCCTTTTCACAGGCTGATGCGTTCTTGTTCCAGTAATATCCGCTTTGACAGGACTTGGTCACAAACTTGCCATCTGTGCAAATTTTGTACTGAGTACAGTCATCCACGGGCTCTTTAGCTCCCTCGGTACAGTTTACGCAAGTTCCATTAGTGTCGACAGTACAGATGTTATACGCGGTATTGAAGTAAGCTCCTTCGGGGCACTGCTTGCCCACCCAGTTACCATTCAAACATGACAGATAACCTGCGCAATCAGTGGGGTCCACCTTAATTACACCTTCAGTACACGATGTTCCATTGCCATTGCACTCCCCATTATCCTTTTCACAGGCTGATGCGTTCTTGTTCCAGTAATATCCGCTTTGACAGGACTTGGTCACAAACTTGCCATCTGTGCAAATTTTGTACTGAGTACAGTCATCCACGGGCTCTTTAGCTCCTTCGGTACAGTTTACGCAAGTTCCATTAGTGTCGACAGTACAGATGTTATACGCGGTATTGAAGTAAGCTCCTTCGGGGCACTGCTTGCCCACCCAGTTACCATTCAAACATGACAGATAACCTGCGCAATCAGTGGGGTCCACCTTAATTACACCTTCAGTACACGATGTTCCATTGCCATTGCACTCCCCATTATCCTTTTCACAGGCTGATGCGTTCTTGTTCCAGTAATATCCGCTTTGACAGGACTTGGTCACAAACTTGCCATCTGTGCAAACTTTGTACTGGGTACAGTCCTCCACGGGCTCTTTAGCTCCCTCGGTACAGTTTACGCAAATTCCATCAGTGTCGACAACGCAGGCGTTATACACGGTATTGAAGTAAGCTCCTTCGGGGCACTGCTTGCTCACCAAGCTTCCATTCAAACATGACAGATAACCTGCGCAATCTGTGGGGTCCTCCTCAAGCTCTCCATCTTTGCAAGGCGGAGTCCCATTGCATTGGCCTTCGTCCAATTCACACTCCTGTTTCTTCGAGTTCCAGTAATATCCGGTCCTGCAAGATTGGGACACGTACTTTCCGTTGACGCATATCTGGAACTTTGCGCAGTCGTCGAGGTCGGGCTTCTTGCTTCCCTCGGTGCAATTTACGCAAACTCCACAGGTGTCGGGAAGGCACTTCTTCTGGGTCACATTGAAGTAGTCTCCCTCCGGGCAGGTAAGGATCACAACATCTCCGTTCACGCACTCCAAATACCCTGCACAATCATCTGGATTCGCCTCGATTTTGCCATCCTCACAGGTTGGCGGCTTGCACTCGCCATTATCCTCCACGCAGAGTTCCCAATATGAGTCCCAATATTCCCCGCTTTCACAGGACTTGGACACGAATTCACCGTGACAGCAGGTTAGATACTTAGTGCAGTCATCCTCATCGGCTTTCGTTTCGCCGTCCTTGCAACACGCCGCATTCAGAGATCCCACGCAGAGGGAAACCACCAGACATAGGGCAAATCCTAAGAGAAAACTCTGGTACAAGGTCCATCCACTTATTAATCGATCCTCCGCGCTTACCATAGTGCGTACTCCTGGATTGAGCCATCTTTTCAGTCCGCATATCGATCGCTCACTGGTGCCTTTTCGGTCCATATCGGCTTTTATATTTACCGGCAATTAAAATAATTGAATGACTTTTCCTGCTTCACAGCATGTGCCGGTGATAATGTCGAACCATCCGTGATATTATCAGCATATATTTACAGTAGTTATACAAGCAATCGATATTGTCCCTATTTATAAAAGTCAGCACGTAACGGTGAGTCCGAAAATGTTTAGAGTGCAGAAGAGTCAAAATTTCGCAAGTCAGTCACCAGTTGCGAAGGTTGAAGTTTCTTTGGTTTTTGCTGAGACTCAGATCTCCGCAACTGGGGTGGCCCAAATGGAAGATGTCTACTCAGAACGAAATAGATTTCGCACGTTTCTCTTTGCAATTAATAATATGGAATGAGTTCGTTTTTTTGATTCTGAATTTAGTTTCCACAACTTGCATTCTTATGTGTAACGTCTATGACATATTCAATACTTAATAGATACCTACATAATTGAATTATTGTTACGGATCGCATAAGATAAGTCTGTATGAATATACAGTATAACAGATATCAAGATCATATAATAGTTGGATAGACTCATTATTAGTTTGAAATTCAAAAAGATCTTTTCAGCCAACGGATACACCCTATAGAGAACATACCCCTTCCCTATTTAAATAAGGGGTATTCCTAATCGTTAAGCCCATGCCACTCTAATTGATCGAGTGCCCAAAGCTGCTGGCCTGTGCCCGCCGCAGTACTGATTAGAATGATTTACTAACCCGAAATTTTATTAATGAAGAGGCCGATAAGGCCAGATCCCAGTTGCTTTGACAAAGAGTTGCTTTATTCGAGAATCGGTCACTTAGAGAGTGCAGGCTGCGACGGACTCGTAATTGCAGGTCTGCAAGTCCTGATCCCAGTACAATCCATCGGGGCACTCCATCTCGGTTTCACATTCACACTGACAGACGACATAGTTACCACAACTTGTCGTGGAACGGAAGAAAGTACCTTCGGCTTGGCCCAAACAACGTCCATTACTCTGGCAGGCAATTCCCGAGGGGCCTGCATCGGGACCCGTGGGCGGGGAGTAGTCCCATTTACATTTATAGTTCTGAGGATAATCGCATTCCTCCGTATCCTCGTTGTAGATCAGGTTGTTCGAACAATATTGCTCCACTGCGCAATTGAAGTTGCACTTGTAGAACATATTACACTTGCCCTCCACCGGGAAGAGCTCTCCCTCCGGCTGATTCTGGCACACGGTGATGGTGGTATTGCAGGGCACGTTCGGCACATAGTTAGCAGGATAGTCGCACTGATCCGAGGTGGCATTGTAGACCAGGTTATCGGGACATATATCCGCTGAGGAAACGCTCGCGGAGGCATTTTTCCCCACCCGATCACACACCTGAGTGGACTCGTTGAACTCCAGGCCATCGGGACAGGGCATTGGAATGGGGCACTGACACTGGCAGACCAAAAATCCATTCGAATCGTGGTCCTTAAGCAGCACTCCATCCTTCTCACCGGCGCATCTTCCCGAATTGGAGCACTGGGTTCCCGAGGGCCCCTCGATTTCATCAGAAGAATCCGCAGTGGGTGTGCAGTCCACGTTCCACCAGTAATCGCAGTCATTGATCTCCTTGTTGAAGTACAAACCGGAGGGACACTGGAACTCCTCGGAGCATCCGTTGTTGCACTGGATAAACCTGACGCAGATCCCGGGCAAGTCAATGTAGGTGCCAGTTGTTTTATTTACACAATGAGTGAGAGTACTTTTGCAATCTGACGGCACCACACCTGGAGTGGAAGGTGTCGTATTGGAGGAGTTGCTGGAGTCCTCGAAATCTGTGGTTTCATTCGTTGAATCAGTGGAGTCCGTAGGATCCGTGACCGCAGTGGGGGTACCTGGGTCACAATCCTCGGTGACTGTGGTGGGTTCATCGATGTCCTCGATGGGATCCTGGCACTCCTCGGCGCAACAGTCGCAGGTGCACTGATCATCCACTCCGGCAAAGGCTGAGAGTCCCAGGCAATTGGCTCGCCACTGAAAGTCGCACTCCCCCAGCTCCCGATTGAAGTGCAGGCCCCGAGGGCAGCTGCCAATGATGGAGACGTCACCCTTGAGGCAAACCACAAACCGGGAGCAGTGGGTGGCCAACGGAAGTCGTGTGCCATCCTCCTCTCCAAGGCAGACATTGGCCAACTGGGCGAAGGCCACTTGAAGACTTGCGGTCAGCAGCAGAACCGTCCAGAGACCTACGAAGTGAATTGGAATAGGGGTTACTAGTTAAGAGGACCGTGCCCTTTACTGTCTCACCACAATAGCCCATTTTTACCATTCTTTTTTCTTCCGATCACCTTTGAAGTAGTCCAAAATTCACGAACGACTAAGTGGCCAACCAGGCAGAGTAGCCTCATTTAACTGCCTCGGGTGCTCGGAATCGGTAGTCAATCTTTTGATAATACCAATCACCATATCTACCTCTCGATTAGTTCAGCAACTGATTTGTTCGTGCCCCTTGCTATCGCAGGTGTAATTAGGTGTGCGTGTCTCGAACTCGGGACCGGGATTCGGGGATTCTTATCACGACATGCACCACGCCCCCTCCGTACAGAGGGTACCCAGATTTTTTGGCATAGGTCTGCGGGTTCTCCACTGTTAAATGGGTCCCGCCGTGGCGTCTGCCTAATTTATGTTTTTCCGCACGCTTCTCGATAAGCAAAAACCTATGCCTAATCATTCGGATCGCTTTATTGACACTTCAAATTAAATGACGTTTATTGTCGCTCAAAATGAAGTGCCAGATACTGTCGATAAAGGGGCAAATCACCCACCTCGACTTTGGGATACTTGGTTCCTTAAACATTGTTTTATATTCCTATATAAAAAGTTATTTATTTTATTTGTATAAATGTAGTAGTTTTTAGTATATATTTAAATAATAATAATAATACTAATAATGAACTAGGTTTTCTAACTGTGTAGAGCTAATGAAAGATTTCATAATATTTAAAAAAACTCTAATTTCTAGTACTATAAAATAGTGGATCTTTAAATAAATCAAATGTGTATATCGTGTCATAAATTTGATTCTGAAGTTTAAAGTTCCTAATCGAACGGGTAGTAATTATAGATAACCTTTTTATAGCCGCTATGGCATACACTTCTTAAATTCCTGGAATTGCATGCAATCTCGCCGATTCAAATGTGCCGATAAGACAACCCATTCAGAACGGAAATAGAATAGAACTTGTCATTTCAATCGGAGATGCGTCTTTAGCTCGGATGCGAATTTTAATGACGATAATTACTTTTCCCTGTCTTTTCACTTGGGCCACTCGAGCGTCGCAACCGCGGGGGGCAGTGAAGTCTATTTGTCACAGAAATGCAATCGGTTCATGACAAGTACTGTTATGGGCTTAGAAGAACCAGAAACATATAGCCGAAGACTGCGGTGAGAGGCTTCCTGCTCCGCGACTCTCGACTCCCCACTCTCGAGTTCGGATGAAACTCAAGACAATGCAATTCTAATTATTCAAATGCTAGCCAAGTACGCTTGAATTAAATTACCAAACTTGGGGAGATCTAAATGGAAGAAAGGAGAGCAAAAGTTGTGCTAGGCCCTGGGCACTTGAGTTGGAAAGGCTTAGACTCTTCGGGTGTCCATTACACTTCACGCATCGCCCTGGAGACGAGTGCCCTGTGCCCCTGCTGTGTCTGAGGCCTTAAGGGGCAACAAAAGACGGGCCAGCGGAAATATGAGTGGATCTGCCATCGCACCCATACAGCCTCTATTATAAAAATCTTCTCAGGTGTAACAGGTTTCTCAGATTTAAACAGAGGTCGCCCCTGTATTGCACACAGTCATCAGCGACACTCGTCGCGCTGCCGATCGTTAATACGCCTTTCAGTCGGGATCTTCAGCCCAAAGGGTGCAGGATCGCAGTCAGGAGCAGTATTCCCCTTCGAATCGAAGAACTGAGATCGATTGGTGCATAGATATCAAGGAAACCCACTCATTTCAACTCTAGCACCATTCGAAATCAGTGCTTTTGATAAGAAACAATCAGCAGAGTGTGTCGATTAAAGTGATATTTTACGGTGCCCTTAGCGAACTAAAATAAGAACGTTCAACAAATTAATATAAAGCAAAGAGTAGATATAAATTAACAAGTAATGAGTGCCAAGTTGCAACCGCGTTGCTGATGGAAGCCAATAAAGTGCAGGCGTGTCTCTGACCGGGTCTTCAGTCGACGATCAGAACAAGTAAACAATTGCTTTGTCATCAATGGAAATAGATTTCTTATCGCAGCCGAGACGAAAAGTGTCGCAAGACTTCATAGTTGACATTAAGTTTTTATTGATTGTGAAAAAGGCATCTAAAAGTATATACTATCAGTGGAAACATTTTTGGTTTCTCTCGTCGAACACTATAATTTCCAGTTTTTATAAATAGGTCGGATTACTGAATGCTTTGCAAAAAAAAGAGAAAGATTTATCGTTGTTCATTAAAAAGTAATATTAGTTTGCTTACTCCATACATCATTGCGTATTGGGGTGATTTTAAATTAATAGTAGGTATTCTTATCTGAATAGATACTTATAAGTAATTTACAACTGTTTTTAACGTAACAAGTCAAAATATATCTCCAACCTTGAATTGGAAAATTGACTATCGATTCGTTCTTATTGATTAGCGTTTTCCATTTAACAGCTATTTTATTACGGTGTCACTTAACTAAGATAAAACGTAATCTTAGTTTTTTATTAAAGCAGTATAACGATTACTCTTAAACCTCCATTTTTTTGAGGAAAGCTTCAATTAACAATTTATGTTGCTTAGCGCGCTTATCTCTTTAGGCCAAAAATATTCACATTCTCGTATGAAAGTATGTGCCGAAAAACCATTTTAGAAAACTTCAAAATACGAGATAAATTAAGAAAGCAACCAATTTATTGGATATGTTAACAATTATTTACAGGTCTGTGCCTTACAGAAAAAAAATCAACAATATTGGAGCAAAAACAATACGTTTAAACACACTCAACACCTTAGTTACGTGAGATTCTTTGGTCAATGACTTCAAAATGTTTACTTAAATCAGTTGAAAACTTATGCCTGCCAGTGTATGCTATATAGTCATCACCAAATTTAATTGAAAAACCACTGATCTCTGTTTATGACACGAACCAAATCTTATCTTTTTTGGGTGTAGTAAATAAATGTCATCGGATGGCAAAAATTTGGTATTTGTCGCTATAAAAGGCCCACCTGGAAATTTCAAAATGCTAGTTGAACCTATTAAAGTCGAAGTGACGGTGTACTTGTTTCAAAATGCGAGGTGGTGGCTTTCTATTCGGAGTGATGGAAGTGAATACTAATATCTATGTAATGTTCCAGGACTTTTAAGTTCCTTGGTCCTGCAGGCCTTGCTGCTGGTCGTGATGGTTCATCTAAGCACCCAAACACGGCTTTTAAGCGACACTGACGACATCTGTAAACTTTTTAAGGATGGAACCAAACTCCGAAAACCTGGAGCGTGCAACGAGTGGATTGAGTGCCAAAACTCTGAGGTTTCGGATAGCGGAAGCTGCTCGGGCGATACGCCGTATTTCAGTCTATCCGAAAACAAATGCTACAAAAGTTTAGGCGACTCCTACTGTTCGTCACCTTCTTGCAAGGGATTGTCGGGTTATATCGGAGATACCTTAAACTGCTCCAATTGGTACTACTGTGATTCAGGTGTGTTAAAACAGAATGGAATCTGCCCCCACAAAATGTACTTCGATCAAGTCAACGGGCAGTGCGTCTATCCAGAGAATACAGTTTGTGCCGCCTCATACGAATTGTGCAATATTGTGCCCAAAGGTGTTCGCTTCCGCGACGAGAACAATTGCAACATGTACCACACCTGCGAAAGCTACAAAATAAAGAGTTACACCTGCGAAACTGGCACATATTTCAATGTGGCCACGGGTGAATGTGGCCCAAAGAAGGATATTGTCTGCGATAACCATCCTCTTCCAGAGGACGTTTGTGGCACCAAGAAACTTGCCATGCGTAACAAGTTCGTCGCGGATCAGGCCACCTGCCGCGGTTACTACTATTGCCGTGATCTTGGCTCTGGAGTCCCGGATCCGGATCCCATTTATCTGCATTGCGACGAGAACACCTTCTTCAACCAGGACCGGCAGGGGTGCATGCCTCGCGAGAGCCAGAAGTGTATCTACGATCGGTGCGATGGCCGCCAGGATGGCTACGTAGTGGCCGAGGATGAGGGCTGCCACAACTACATCGAATGCGTCGACGGCAGGGAGACTACTCCTATGAGCTGCGGAAGTGAATACTTCAATGCTGCCACCCAGAGTTGCACCGCAACTCAGATAACTTATGGAGCTTGTTCCGCTTAGTGGCCCAGACAATTCAAGCTTTTCAAAAAAATGTAAAAAGTTGCAATTTAAAATCAGGGTTTCAATTCGGCGTTCGGTAAATTTTAAGTTTTTTAATTTCCATATTTTGTATCCTTATTACGAAAAATCCGTTTACCAAAAAAAAATTTAATATAATAACAATAACCTAGAAAATGAGTTTCGGAGTCCCATTCTGAAAGCCATTGGAAATATGAAAACATTGAACATGAAAATGGGTTAAAAATTTGACTATCGCTTATAAGAAATATTTAAGTGTAGAGTATTAGAGAATTCAACCACAAATTCATAGAGGTATCCCACGTCCTAATCGGGATCCAAATACTCAAGTTATGGAGTCTAGAAGTGCAGCCTTTGGAAATTCCAAAAATCAAACATGAAAATGGGTTAAACTATTGACACTTGTTCAAAATAAAGATTTTGATGTAGAATGTTAGAGAATTCAAGCACAAGCTTATTGAGGTATTAAACGTCAAAATCGGACTACAATAACTCATGTTATGCAATCTAGAAATGCAGTTTTGGGGTCCCATTCTGAAACCATTTGGGAATTACGAAAATATCGAACATGAGTATGGGTTAAAATTTGGACCATCGTTTAAAAGTAATATTTTTATGTAGAATATTAGAGAATTCAACTACAAGTTCATAGAGATATCACACGTCTAAATCGGGATCCTATAACTCAAGGTATGGAATCTACAAGTGCCGTTTTGGGTTCCCATTCTGAAACCCACTGGGAATTACGAAAATATCGAATATGAAAATGGGTTAAAAATTTGACTATCTCTTATAAGAAATATTTGAATGTAGAATATTAGGAAATGCAACCACAAATTTATAGAGGTATCACACGTCTAAATCGGGATCCGATAAGTCAAGTTATGGAATCCAGAAGTGCCGGTTTTGGGTTCCCATTCTGAAACCCACTGGGAACTACGAAAATAGCGAACATGAAAATGGGTTAAAAATTGGACCATAGTTTAAAAGCAATATTTTAATGTAGAATATTATAGAATTCAACCACAAAATCATAGAGGTATCACACGTCTAAATCGGGATCTGATAACTCAATTTATGGAATATAGAAGAGCCCGTTTTGGGTTCCCATTTTGAAAGACATAGGGAATAACGAAATATCAAACATGAAAATGGGTTAAAAATTTGACCGTTGCTTATAAGAAATATTTTAATGTAGAATCTAAGAGAATTCAACCACAAGTTCATACAGTTACCCCACGTCGAGATCAGACCACAATAACTCAAGGTATGGAATCTAGAAGTTCAGGCTTGGGGTCCCATTCTGAAGGCAATTGGAATTAGGAAATAATCAGACATGAAAGTGGGCTACAAATTTGACACTCTAAATCGGGATTCAATTACCCAAGTTAAATGAAATCAAATCACCACCAATTTATCGAATCAACGAAACATGAGAAACATTTAGAAAGTGTATTTATTAAGTGGATTGTATAAACCATTATCGTCAGAAAAGTTGATACCAAAGCTCTTGTGTGCTGTGCGATCGTCACCAATTTTTTTTTCCTTAAGACATGGTTTTGACTGAAATTGTATAGTTTGCGTGATCATTTTTATTCATTCTGGTTTTTATGATAGCTTGAAGTACATATTAAGGAACAATATTCATGAATACTCGTATAATTTATTTTTATGAACACTTTTGGAAAACTGTAGCTACCCAATTCGTTTTTAGATGGGCTTGTAGTCCAACCGCGACTCAAGCTTTTTGTTGTCAGCGATTTTGCGCACAGCCTTCATGAAATCCTCATGGATGACATACTCCCGATCGCAGCGCAGGGCGAAAAGCCCGGCCTCGGTGCAAATGTTCCGCAGATCGGCACCATTAAACATATCTGAGAGCTTGACCACCGCCTCGTAATCGATTTCCCCCTGTTTGGACAGCGGTCCGGCGTGAATCTTGAGGATGTCCATGCGGGCCACTTCGTTGGGCAGCGGAATCTCCAGCTTTCGATCGAGACGCCCGGGACGCAGCAGGGCAGGATCCAGGGTATCCGGCCGATTGGTGGCCATGATCATTTTCACCTGGCCGAGAGCGTCGAAGCCGTCCATCTGGTTGAGCAGCTCCATGAGCGTGCGCTGGATCTCGCGATCGGCGGAAGTTCCCTCCGAGAAGCGACGACCTCCGATGGCGTCGATCTCGTCCATAAATATAATGCACGGCTGGTGGTCACGTGCATAGGCAAACATCTCGCGGATAAGGCGGGCACTTTCGCCAATGTACTTGTCCACAATGGCCGAGGAAACCACCTTCCGGTGAGATTGTCAGAAATATATTTAAATCAGTGGTTTGAAATAACGATCACGTTCAACAAGACAATCAAGATGTTAAAATAGACTGCACAGAATAGTCATGAATTTTACTAATAAATTTTACAATATATATAAATATTTTAAGATTTGAATGAACACTTAATTTAAATCCCCTTATGCCTGGTTTATGGTTTTGAAAAATTGAAAAATCAACTCAAAACTTTATGTAAAGTTTTGAATACGTACTATGTATGTTTCTGATGACCCATAAACATCTACATATTTTAAATATCCAAAAATGTATAGCTAAATATTATGGATATGGAAACTCACCTTAAGGAAGTTGGCGTCCATCTGGGAGGCGATGGCGCGGGCCAGGAGGGTCTTCCCGGTGCCAGGTGGCCCGAAGAGCAGGCATCCCTTGGGCGGATTGATGCCAACGCGGAGGAACAGCTCCGGATTAAGCAGCGGCAGTTCAATGACCTCGCGAAGCTCGCGGATCTGCTCACCAAGACCTCCGATCTCGGCGTAGTTCACGTTGCCCGGGTCCTCGTGGGTCATGTTGTAGACCAGCGGATCCACTTCTCGTGGCAGATAGCGCATGATGGTCAGGGTGGTCACATCGAGAGCGACGCGAGTTCCGGCCTTCAGTTTTGTCTTGTTTATCTGCCGACGACATCCGACCACGTAGCGCGGTCCATTCGAAGCCTTCACGATGAAGTTGTCCGGGGTCAGCTGCTTAAGGACCTCCCCGAGCATCTGACCCACACTCTGCAGGGCCTTTAGGTCCTCCTCGGACTTCTCGTACTGGGCATTCAGGACCTTGTGCTTATCCCGCAAAGCCTTCAAACGCGACTCGATCTCGCGGTGCTCCAGGAGCTTGGTGCGGTAACTGGTCAGCGCCTTCACCCGTTCGTCGTCCATTTGTGGTTTTGCTTGTGGAGCTGGAGCAGTCATCATCGAATTCAAATTGTTTTACTCTACCCCCGAATGGCTTTTCAAAAATGTGCCAACTCACGTTAGAATTTTGACGTTTGTCAAGCTGAAAGGAACTAGTTCCATTAGGAATACCATCATTCGGAACTAAATTGGAACAAAAGAATGGAACATTTTCACGAAACAAAATAATTTCTTGATAAAATACATCTAAGTGTAAAAATGCCAGCTATCTAATGCTAATTCTTAAATCAGGTTTGAAATTCAAGAACTTACTGGATAACAAAATCAATAATGGGCAAGTCAAGCCTATGCAGTTGACGTGAAACAAATTAAAAACACTTTTTTTATAAACAAATAGTTTTAAATTTTCATTTTTAAGAATTCTGGAGGTCAAGTTAATATTTATTGTGAATGTACGATTAAAACTGTTTCTGTAAAGGCTGTAAAAGCTTTTATACTGGCAAATATAGATTTACATATGTTCTTCGTGACGTCTTGAAATGAAATTGTTGCTTTTGTCCCTTTTTTTGTTCAGGTAAGTGAACAACGTTTTTATTTTAGAATATAAAAATAAGGTATGAGTGGGTTTTATTCCTTTATAACTGGGGCTTATTCCTTTATAAATAATTTTATTTTCGGAAGAATAATATTTCAAGGAATTAAGTGCTTTAACATGCAAAATAAAAAAAAAATTGAGAAATGTACACACCCATTTTCGGTGACTTTGGTGTTCCGCTGGCACGTGAATACCATCGAATGCGTCGGAAGGTGTTGGCCGGGAACCAAATGTCAGCATGGCATCCAGGCAATAAATCAGGATACATTGGGAGCACTCTGTGCCACGGGCCCAGCTGCTTCGAGTGGCGTGGCCACCACGACCCAAACATCGAGATAACCACTGGGACAACTGCATCCGCGGGTCGGAATGCCCCGCATTTGGGGCCCATGACAAATATGCAGTTTGAAAATGTTTAATGAATTTTGGGCTCGCCTCGCATCGAATCGCCAATTGCTGCCAAGTATTTTGGCTGTGGTTGAAAGCTCCTGGAACCCCGGGTCCCATTTTGTTCCCAGCCCAGGGAAATAATTGGTGGGTGTTTCACTGTAACTACTAGTGTTTCTTCCCTTTTCATCTGGAAATAGGACCCATCACCGATAAACATTTTCGCATCTGAATTTTACTTAACGATGGATATTGAGACTCATACTAAGTTTATACATTGAATATAAGATATTTTTATTTTATTTTTATCCAACTTTTGTTGTTTGTTTGTTGTGCAGAGTTTTTAAATTCAAACGTTGAACGTTGAGAGGGGTAAAGTGAAGACTTGGAAGCCAAATCCCTTCCATACATCGTAACTCGATAAAAAAGTATCTTATGGAGAAGGGGGAACACAAAAAACAGAAGTATGAAGTTTTCTGAAAATGAAACTGAAATTCTATTGAATAAAGTTTGGCTGCTTGGTGGTCCCGATTTTTGTTGTGTGGCACAACATGTGCCGCAGATGTTCGCCACCATCCAGCCAAAGTTTGCCATCTGGCCAGAAGCCCAAGAAGCAGAGGTCTGTTCGATTTCGGCTCACTTACTCCAGAGTCCCCATGAAAGAAATTAAACGCAGACCCCGAACATGACGGCTTGTTGCAACTTTCGCTTGTTTTCGATCTTGACTTCTGGCCTTCTCTGTGACAGGGAAATGGAGTCGAGGACATGGGCGTGGCTGGCCAACATGTTCCGGAAAAATTATGGCTTAACTCCGACATTGTTGTACCCCTTGAAGGCCAAATTTTGGGTGGCATTTCAAAATTTAAGCTCTAAAGTATATAACTTTTTAAAATGTTTAGACTCTTTTATTTGGAGATAATAAACATTTCAAGCGTATCTGAATTCAATTTTATTTTCCTTTTTTCCGCCATTTATTCTATACTTTGTTTTGTATATTTACATATGTTGATTATTTTTAAAGAATATTCCATCGATCATCATATTAATTATGTGTGGCCTCATATCTGGAATATGATTTGCATTTGGGTGTAGGATGTGCTAATGCAAATTTTAGACCCGGCTTGAATTTCATTAACACAGTTCGGGGAGTGCAACGGTGCAAACACATGCTTCCCCGCCATTTCCCGGCACTCATTCCGTCCGATGTTTGATGGCCGTACATCAGGATGAAGGATGAGCACTCCAGAGGATGTATGTGCCAGAGGATGTATGTGCAAGTACTTACATATGTACGCAAGTACAGGTGTGAAAGAGTTGTGAAAGCAGAGAGTGCGGACGCGTTCTAAAATCGCTCCGTTTATTCCTTGAAGTTTTCAGCTTAAAACCAGAAGCGCAGCTTGCCATCCGGCGTGGAGCACTCGGGACACGCACCTGGACATCAGCTGGTGGACGGGAGGCCGTGGACGACATCCAGGAGCAGCTTGGGAATCTATCCCCAACAGGTTTGGCGGCCAGGCAGGGGCCGGTCGTAGATGAGGGAGGGGAGGCATCTCTGCCTCTTATTACTTTCCACTCGTTGTTTGTTTAGCAGTTGCCAAATTTTTTCACTCGCGCTTTCTATTTTTGCAAACACTGAATCAGTGGTGGAAAGCGCTTGCGCGACCAGCTGATCGTAGTGTGCGAAAGGGGCTGCGGGTGCTATAGCAGCAAGCTTCGGACAGGGTGCAGGCCAAGCACATAAATAAGTGCGTGCCGTAGCACGTAGGGAATTTTGGGTGGCTCTTTAAAAAAAAAAATTAGAAAATAAAAACCATAAGCCTTAGTACTAAGACTTATCCTTTTTATTAAATAATTCATAAAAATATTAAAGTCCGATCGGAAAACAGCAGATACTGCGGGTAAAGATCCAAGCTTACTGCAGTACCGTCGAACTCCCCAGGCGGGGAAATGGCGGGCAGGGGATCGGGGGCACAACACCCTGGCGCTAGCCTAGGGGTTGGGCCAACCAATAGTGGAGGCACGCCGGCAAACAAAGGCCTGGCGGCGCCGGCTAATGCCGACGGCTTCCACACGCCTTTGTCCAGTCTACCTGACTGGGCCAACACGGGAGCTGACCCTTTTAAAAAAAAGCAGCGTAATGGCGAGATCGCCAGAAAAAAGGGAGGAGTGCAGTGGCAGACAGCCCGGCACCCCCCCAGCAGGAGATAAAAGCAGCCCAAAAGCTGCAGATGAGGAGCAGGGGGATATGCTGAAGCAGCTGACGGGCCTGGGATCAAAGGCCAGGGAGCTGAAGAAGCTAATGGAAGGAAAGCGTTCCATTACTAACCCCATGAGGGATATAGTCGACGAAATCGACTATCTCCAGAGGGAAGTCCTGTCGGCTGTGCAATGCATAGTCGAAGAACAGGAAAAAGCTAAGGAGATAGCAAAAAAAAAAACCTGCGCAGAAGTGCTCGCGAGCGGCACCAGCAAGCGACCCAGGGGTCATGAAACTGGGATGACGCTAGCGGTACCAGCGAAAAAGGCGATGCATAAGGCACCGGCAAGTGATGCCAGTCAAGGTGCAAAGAAAGGGAGACATGCTGGGACAGTCAGCACCAGCAAGCCCCAAAAACCTGGGAAGAAGCCAGAGGAGTGGACACAGGTGAAGCAGAAGGTCCGGAAGCCCAAGGTGCGACCGCCACGGAACGACGCGATAGTCATCGCAGCCTCTGCTGGAGGGTCCTATGCCGACATCCTTAAAAAGGTTAAGGCTGAACCGCAGCTTAAGGAGCTAGGGCAAGCAGTACAGGCCGTTAGGCGAACAGCAAAGGGGGAACTCCTAGTGATTCTAAACAAGGTTTCTGACCCTAAAACCGTAGAGCTTCAGACCACAATGAAGGCTGTCCTGGGCAACAATGTCGACGTCAGAGCGCTGACTGAGACAATGCTGATCGAGGTAAAAGACATCGATGAGACCACCGACAAAGCAGACATCTTATGTGCGGTTCAATCACAATTTGATGTGGAACTGCCAGAGTCCGCGGTGGTAAACCTAAGGGTGGCATACGGAGGCACCCAAACCGCCACACTAAGAGTTATGCCCGACATAGGGAGACGACTCTTGGAGAAGGGCAAAATTAGGCTGGGATGGACCTGGTGTAGAGTCCGCCCAAAGCTAACACCTAAAAGGTGTTTTAAATGTATGGAGTTTAACCATGTAGCAGGGAATTGCAGGGTCCAGGAGGACTGCTCAAAATGCTGCTACAACTGTGGCGCAAAGGAGCACCAAGCCAGAGGCTGCAAAGCAAAGGCCTGCTGCATGCTATGCAAACGCAAAAAGGAGAAAGATTGCGATCACCCAACAATGAGTGGGAAATGCCCGTACTTCAGGAGGGCTATGCAAGGGCTTAGGGGTAAATGAAGTTCCTTCAGATTAACCTAAACCATTGCGAGGTTGCCCAATCGTTGCTAGAGCAAAATGTCATCGAGAAAAACGTAGACATGGCACTCATAAGCGAGCAATACAGGAATAAAAATTCCGGAGAATGGGTAACAAATAATAGTAAAAAATCGGCAATATGGAGCTGCGGTAATCCAAGGCGACAGATTAGCAAGAAAAAATGCGGAAATTGCTTCGCTAGGGCCCAAGTGAATGGTATAGCTTTCTATAGCTGTTACCTGCCGCCAAGCCTTAGCCTCCCCCAGGCAACATCTGCGCTCGAGGAGATTGCAGAAGACGCCCGGGAAAATCGCCCCGCCGTAATTGCCGGGGACTTTAATGCCTGGGCTACGGAGTGGGGCTCCCCCCGAACCAACGCGAGGGGAAAGGCGCTACTCGAGAGCTTCGCCGCACTTGACCTAGTGCTGCTGAACTCTGGAACAAAACCGACTTTTTCAAGAGCCGGCACCAGTTCCATCATTGACCTCACATTTGTGAACACTGGATTGGCCCCGGGCTCCAGCTGGGAGGTTAGTGACACCTACACGGGTAGTGACCATGCAGCAATAATCTGCACGATAAATTCTAGAAGTGGCCCACCACGAGTCCCTAAGACCGTGCCAGGGTACAAAATAGAAACGCTGGACGTGGAGATGGTACAGATGTTGTTCGAGGACCTCTCCACAAGCGGCTCAGCTGAAGAAAGGGCAAACCACATCGCAGAGTATACCAAGGTAGCCTGTGATGCATCTATGCAGAGAAGAGGGAAAAACCCATCAAGAAGAAGACCTGCATACTGGTGGAACCAATCCATTGCGGAAGCCAGGAAAGACTGCCACAGGGCAAGACGCGCATACCAACGCTCAAGAGGAAGGCCCGAATTTGAGGCACTCCAAATATACTTCAGGGAAAAGAGACGAGCCCTGGAAAAAACTATAAAAGAGAGCAAACGCAGGTGCTTTAACAATATCTGCGAGGAAATAGACTCCAACCCATGGGGCTTCGCATACAAACTCGTCACAAAACGGCTGCGGGTATTTAGTCGGCCATCACCGACATGCCCAGTCAGCCTAAAAAGGATCGTGGAAACACTATTCCCAGAGCAAGAAGGTATGGCGCGGACCTCACTGATCGTGAACAGGGCGAGCATAAAGCTCACAAGTGCCGAAGAAGTCCTCCAGGTATTGAAGACAATACTGGACGACAAGGCACCGGGACCAGATGGAATCCCGAATAAAGTTCTCAAAATTGCCATAAAAGCAAATACTAAAGAGTACGTTGACATGTATAACGCATGCCTAACGGAAGGTGTGTTCCCTAGCCGCTGGAAAACACAGCGGCTGGTACTCATACCAAAGGGGGAAAAACCCGCGGAGGAGCCTTCTTCGTATAGGCCACTCTGCATGCTGGACACGGTGGGTAAAATTCTCGAAAGAATAATCCACTCCCGGCTAGAAGGTGCCCTTGCCGAAACCAACGGCCTCTCAGAGATGCAGTATGGTTTTCGGAAGGGGCTATCCACCATCGACGCCGTCGGTAAACTGTGTGAAATCGCAGATAAAGCCATTGAGGGGAAAAGGTGGTTGTACGGCACTAAGCAGTACTGCTTAGCGGCAACGTTGGATGTAAAAAACGCTTTCAACTCCGCCAGCTGGCACCACACACTAAATGCACTGAGCAACCTAAATGTACCAGTGTATATACAGAGAGTAATAGCGAGCTACTTTGAAGGCCGCCTGCTCCTGTACGATACTGATTCCGGGCAATCGACCCACAGGGTCACCGGGGGAGTTCCCCAAGGATCAGTCCTAGGCCCTTTGTTATGGAATGTCATGTACGATGGGATACTTAGGATCACGATGCCCGAAGGGGCACGACTCATTGGTTTCGCGGATGACGTGGCCATAGTGGTTACGGCAAAGAAACTCCCAGATGCGGAAGAAATCTGCAATGAAGCGGGGAAAAGAGCAAGCGCATGGCTCGACTCCAAGGGACTCGCCTTGGCAGCGCACAAGACTGAAGCAGTCCTGATAAGTAGCAGGCAGAAAGTGGAGGCAGCTACTATCAAGATTGGAGAAGCCACAATTACATCGCGTCCAAGCCTAAAATACTTGGGCGTCATGATCGACCACCGGCTTTCTTTCAAAGAACATCTAGCGTACGCTAGTGGCAAGGCAAGTAGGACCGCGGCCGCGATATCGCGAATTATGGCGAACACTCGGGGACCAAGGCAACCAGGACGTAGATTACTGGTTAGTGCTGTCACATCGACGCTGATGTACGCTGCTCCCATATGGGCTCGAGCCACAAAAAATGGAAGTTATATGCAAGACGGCGACTCCGTGCAGAGATTGTGTGCACTACGGGTATGCTGTGCGTTCCGCACGGTATCCCATGACGCGGCGCTGGTAATATCGGGAGGCATACCGATTGATCTGCTGGCAGTGGAATCAGCTAACATCCGCGCGGGCAGCACAGGGGTCGCAACTGCAGAATCCGTACGGAAAAGGTGCAGAGAACTCACCATTGCTAAGTGGCAAGAGAGGTGGGTAAATAGTAGCAAAGGACGATGGACGTATAAGCTTATCCCAGAACTGCAGAGATGGCTGGGACGGAAGCATGGACATGTGGACTACTACTTAACGCAACTGTTGACGGGACATGGATGCTTTAAATACTATCTGAATAGGTTTAAGCATGAACGTTATCCGCACTGCCCACTCTGCGAGTCGGATAATGAAGACGCAGAACACGTGTTTTTTGTCTGTCCGAGATTCGAAAATGAACGAAGAGATCTGAGCATAAGGGTTGGGAGGACGCCAGCCGCTTGTAACCTGGTGGACATTATGCTTGAATCAGAAGTAAATTGGTCTGCGGTTTGCAACATGGCCACAATAGTACTCAAAAAACTGCGCATCGCAGAAAGACTGCGAAATTCCAATAGGATAGAATCCTAGAGAGCCCTAAGGGCATTCCCCCCCCGGCGAAGTAATACCTAACGGCAGTACCGCCGGGGAAGCGGGGAGGGGGTGGAGTTTTTACTGGGTTAGAGTCCCAGACTTCGGCAAGCTAGTTCAGCTCCGAGTTGGCTTTCGATGCTTTAAACCACCACTAACACAAAAAAAAAAAAAAAAAACAGGTGTGCAAAAATGTGGCCATGCATTGCAACGTTAACTGGTGACGCTGTCAAGATGCAAGAAATGACCACACTCCAAAAAAAAACAAAGCTCTACTTATTGTAAACAATACTTATAAAGAAACTAGTTAATATCAAATCATATATTATTACCCAAAACCATAATTATTACAAAAATGGTGGCACTTTAAGATCTTACTTCTGGCTTTAAAGTGTATCACTCATACGTACTGTTGCCTTTGATCAGAAGTTTATTTTAATCTTTGTGGTAAAAATTTCGAACAAACATTTGTTTTTGGTCTCCATAATTTTAAAAATTATTTTAAAAGTTACAAAACTGGAAGGCAAGAAACATGAGAAAATGTCATACGTGTCCTATGATTAATTTTTAAGGATATTTTAAAACCATTGTCCAACGCCTAAATCTTTAAATTAAATTTGTAAGATTTTGAAGAACAAGATTATTTTTGTGACCACCCTTTTTTTCCAGTGCTCGCTTGAGGGGCGGTGAGTGTTTTGAGTTGAGGTTAACAAAAATGGGTATGCGTCGTCCTGCTGACTGCGAAATTGCTTTGGATGCCAAATGAATGCACTTGCATATTTCATTGCCGCCCTGTCACCTGCGGTCTCACCTGGGGGCCACCTTTGGCTCCAAGTCGGGAAAACCCCATCATAAAAACAATGGACGTTAGCTTTTCTGTTAGTGGCATTCGTAACTTTGATTACAAAGGTATCTTGAAAGCAAAAATAAAAACGAACCCCAGTTTATTTAGAGTTATAAAATTCTGGGGAATGTGAATATGCATTTCAATCGCATCTATAGTATAGAGTTTTTTTTTTAAATTACTTTTTGGTTTATCAATACTCACAGAAAAAATGATAAAATGATGATGATAACATTCAAGTTCAATTACATTTGCTTTACATTTACAATGCCTTACATGGCGTTAACATGGCGACCCACTGCCTTAGTTCTTTGTTGGGCCAGGTCACTTACGATCCACAGTGGATCCACTGCGGAAACTGTTGCTGTTGCTGTTAGCAGTGCCGTTATAAAGTAACGGTACCGCAGCCATATAGAGGCCAGTGTGCTATCAGCGCCGCATGGCAACGGTAATCGAAACGGGTAACGGTAACGGTACGGTCTATCGGAAAATGTGACGGAATATTGGCGGGATTTATGCGTGTTATAATTTATTTTCTTTATTTAACGCGTTGATATCGTTACCATTGTTAGCTTAACAAAGAGAGAATAGGTATTTCATGCTTATAGCCCATTTGGTTTGTTGGTTTATTTTAAATTATTCATTAACAATCTTTAAAAAAATATTATTTTTTTGCCCTACATCTTTTATTTATTTACTTAGTCGTCGTTTTAGTCGTGAAAAAATGGTACCGTTCCTCAAATACTAAAAGAAACAAGACCTAAAGAATGAGTGATGATGTGTGTGCTACCTATGCCACTACCAAACTAAATAAAGTGATTGTTATTGAGATACCCATTAGGTATTATCCCACCAAATGAGTGATTAAATAATTCCCACAACCATGTCTTCCGGGGAGTGGGACCTGAAAGCGCTGAAGGCGCTCGAGGAAGAGGAGCAGCGCGAGTTCCTGGCTCTCAGCCAGAAGAACCTCTTTGATCCGCTGCCCAATCCCACTTCCGATGCGGCCAGTGCGAAGCCATCGCTCACCTACGCCCAGCTGCATCCCCATCTCCTAAAGCTGCCAACGATTGACGAGTGCCAGCTGATGGCCGTCAAGCAGCAGAGATCGGCAGCCCTGCGATTCAGTCGGGCCCTTTCCCTGTCCGCTCACTCGCTGACCTCCCGAACCGGAAGCGGTACGGCAGGCGGAAACGGAAGTGCCCTTGGCTTCGGCCGCAAGCTGAAGGCCCGCTTGGTGGGCGCCAAATCCAGTGGTTCACTGTCACCTGGTCGTCATTCGCACAGCTACAGTGTGTCCCCGGTATACACGCCGCCCCCCATGCGAAGATGTGCCACACTGCATCACACGCAACCGGTGCGAAAGGTCTTCAAAAATCTCCAGCAGTTGCATGAGCGGAAACGCCAGGCGGCCGGAAATCACATGCAGAGGATCGCTGGCACCGGAAAAACATACTGGAAGTACGGAGCTAATTCCACGGCCGCTTCGATAGTGGGACAACGTGCACGCCAAAGCCAACAGATCGATGTGGAGGAGTCCAATGGGTCCGACGAAGTGAACTCGGAACCTCAAGAATTCTCGGAGGCGGAAACAGGCTCCTGCAGTGTACCCCTGCCCTCGAAGGACACCAACGAAATACTGCGACTAATGCTCAGTGCGGCCAGTTCGGCGGTCACAGTCACGCCAACGGCGGCGGCAATCAGTAACGGGAATGTGAGCGGGAATGGAAGCGGAAGCGGAAACGTGACCGGAGCAACTGGTGGCGCCCTGCAAGTGAGACGCTACCAGAATGCCAGCGATGTTGAGGAGGACGAAACTGTTGCGTACGAGGCATTCCACCAGTCGGCCAAAAGCTTTGAGCGCGCCGCTCTCTTGCGCGTCGGCAGTTTAACAGCGCAAGAGAGCGATAACGGTAAAGCTAGTGCTTTGAGTCCCCAGAGCAGTCCAGCCAGGGAAATAAAATCCACAACGATGGGTGTCCCAGGTGGCAGGCGGATGTTCAAGTCCTCCTCCTTGGACTGGCCCGGGGAATCACAGCAGCAACATCAGCCGCAGACCCATCAACAGCCACATCAGGCTGCAAATCAGCTGGAGTTGGTGGAACAGCAGGCCAACGATTCGCTTTTCCGGCACCGGGATCACTGGGATCTGGAGCACGTCCACTTCCATCACGAGGGAATCGGACATCTCACAGGCCACGGTGCCACCGTCATCGATGACGAACTGGAGCAGCATATCAAGCACTGCTCCTGCTCCTGCAATCACATGGGCTACGGCAACTCAATGGACTATCAGGTGCGTTTACGTTACTTCTAAAAACAAAAAAAATGAAGTCGATTGGGACCGGCCTTTTAAACTAGAATTTTTTTTCGAGCGAAATAAAAAAACCCAGTTTAAATGTATCTTATTAAAGAATAAGTCTTCTCACTTATTCGATTGTAAACGTTCTTGAAATCAAGATAAATATACTCTCGCGTTGATTTTCGAGATGAAAAGGTCTTAAAATAGAGATGAAAGTAATCTGGAATTTTTCTTTTGAGAATAGATTGCTTATACTATCATTTAATCTTGTTACTGGAAATCATCAAATAAAATCGATAACTATTATGTGAAAATGCCCACATACTTTTATGTTAATTAAAAGCAGAAGAAAAGATATTTTTACCGTGAACCTTTCACTCCACAACCGCTCTTAGTCCCCTGCCGTGGGCACTCTTCCACAAATGATTGTGCCGTGTAATTTTAATTGCACCAACTATTTCTGCAGTGCGGGTGTCCGGCAATTCAGGTGAATGGCGGCACATTCAGTGTGCCTGGTCCTCCAGTTTCTAATGCACTGTGCTTTGGCCATTCCAGAACACACACGTAATACCCAAACTCATTATCATGGAGGCGAGGCCCTTTGTGGGCACTCCGGGTTCACGGCTGGATTGCTCCTGCCAGATTGCCGCCTGGAGATCGGCCTGGGGGCACTGACTCGGCCAAGTGCTCCATTGTCTGGCTGCGAGTGGCCCGCAGGATGGGGCAAACTTTCAAACTAAATTGAATACCCCTTTGAATCCAACAATGAGTCGGGATTAAGCTGGGCTCTGGGTCGCTCTCACGCCTTCCCACATCGTTATTGTCCGTAATTGTTGAGACGATTTTAGGTTTAATAGCTGCCATTTCAAATACTGCTCGAGTCCCTTTGGCTGACCCCACGCAAACTCAAGACTTTATCTTTTGTTTTACTACGACGTTGCAATGCTGCACTCTGTTGCCCCAGGGCCGTGTGACTTTTATTGTGCAACACCCAGGAACAAACTGCCTGGCAAACTGTTCAAATCCTGGCAGGAGTCTAGAGCGAGCAAATATTTTAGTAGTAAATATTGCACTCTATTCCAAAACATCCAGATTAGACTCTGGTAAATATTTTATGCTACTATGCTGGCTGCAAAAATACGTATTTGTTGATAAGACAAATTAATTCTCTCTGGGTATTTGGCTTAAAATGTCCATTTATGGGTCTTAGAAATTGAATATAAATTTAGAAAATGTAATTCTATATTTTTCAATGTATTCATGAATGTTCTTGGTTGAAAAACACAACCCAGTACTCTTCCAAATCAAACTCCAACCCGTTGTGTACTTTGATTACGACTTTATAGGAGAGTGTTTTACAGCATATATATAATAGATAAGTCTACAATAGGTGCGATTGCGGTTGGGGTGCTTTACTAATAGCGTTACTAACGTAGGGCGTTACATCTAATTCGATCGAACATCCTTGGGGTCATGCGTCTAAAGGCTGGGGAGTCATCTTCATCCGCGGAATCCGATTACTGCAGCGTGCTCTGGGGCGGAGTGAGGGGCGTCCAGGTGTCGGCGCTGACGGAAGGGGCTCCATTGACCACGGCGGTGGGCACCGAGACGACCGCAGCTCCGCCGGAAACGGAAACGGCGCCCCGCTCCACCGAGTGCTCCAGGGATGAGGACTCTATCTTGATGTCGTGGGAGCTCTTCAGGGCGGAACTGGCGCACTCCAGCGTAATGACCGAGCCCTGCTCGTCGCTCGGCTTGTACATGGCCGCCTGGGGATCGTCCAGCGCCTTCGACACCTCCACGGGCTCCAGCGGATGGGTGGCATAGCTGCAAGGCGGGTGGCGGGGAATCATTGATAGCTACGTTAGCGGTAAGAGCGCACAGTTCCCCACCGATTCAACCTACCCGATCTCTAGAGGAATGTACTCCGGCTGGTAGTACGCGGCGGCGGCATTCTGGTACAGTCCGTACTCCGCCCCAGATCCATTGTGCCACCCACTGGCGGGATAACTCAGCGCCGAGGGCGCATTGAGCACTGCATTCGTGTACAGCTGGTGGGTGGGCGAGGTGGGTGTGGGATGGTACACCTGGTGGGCAGCTGCTCCGTACGTTGCTTGCGGGGATCCCGATGCCCCGGCCCCACCTCCAACGCCCACGCCGGTGCCATAGATGTCCGGCTGGGTCATGTTGTACTGGTGACTGTGCGGCGTCAGGTGGTGAATGGTGTAGCTGGGCGAGGAGGTCGTGTAGCTCGGAGATCCGTTCGTGGGCGACGGCGAGTTGTGGGAGGCTGCAAGTGGACAGGGAAAGTGGTCAATTAGGGGTCACCTCTGCCGATGTCGTTGGTTATTAACCATTTAAAGATCTCTGAATTTATTACATCAGTATTAAAAGTTTACTAACCAAGATATGAAAATGGGTGAACTACTAAATTTAAAATCTATTTTATATTGTTAAAGTAGGCAACCTAAAACTTCATGACCTTGTAGGTAGTAAAAAGCCATAATAAATAAATCATTAAATTTTTACAGACGCACTCTTCAAGGGGATATTTCTCGTCAGAACTTTAAAACATTAAAGAGCACCGTTCCTCAAAAGTACACTAGGAACTTTGTCATTATATTTCTGTTATTCAAGTTAAAAGGTCACGTAGTTTGAAAGCTAAGGTATGGTACCCTTAGGGTATCATGCAAGGATATATGTAGGCAAGAACATCTCTTTAACCTCCAATGGAGTACTCACAGATGTTGCGGCCACTGCACACGTTCATGGGCATGGGTCCTGGAACGCTGGTGGCGTTCCAGTAATTGCCATTGCTCTGCCAGCTGCTGGGGTACGAAAACACGGATGCCGTGGGACTGGCCTCGACCGGCATAAACCCTGATTGGGCGTAGGAACTGCTGAAGCAGCCGGCACTTGAGGTGGAACCCAGTCCGCCGGCGCTGGAGCTGCTCACACTGGTGCTCACGGATCCCGTGGACGAGGAGTGCAGGCTGGTGGGCGTTTGAGGAGCCGACGGTGGCTGGGGCGACGTGGATGAGGCATTTCCAGCACTGCCATTGGAACCGGAACCGGAAACGACCCTGGGTCGACTGTAGGGCGTAGTACGAGTGGGTGCCACACTGCGTCCTGGTAGGGATCTTCCATAACGATCGCAACTGGCGCCCGAGGAAGGACCCACTGATGCGGCCGAGGAAACGCTGGGACAGGAGGCCACCAATCCATGACCCTGGGCGATGGACAGCGGGGGAGCAGCCACGGCGGCAGCTGCAGTTGTATAATGTGTGGGCGGTGGGATCAGCCAGCCGTAGTGGGTGTCATGGGGATACAGCGTATCCGGTCGCTCTTTGGCATCGAGAAAGGCCTTGGCGAAGGGATTGTACTTGATCTTCAGCGAGGTGACCTCTTCGTTCTGATAGGCCGTCACCGCAATGAACTGGGTCTCTGGGAAGGGATAGGTGACCACGTGACGCTGCTCGGAACCCACACGAACCAGATGAACACGTGGTTCATACTTGTGTAAAGAGTTTAGCATTATCTGGAAGAGAATTTATAGTTGTTATCTCAGTTGTATAAGTTGAGGTTCTATATGAATTGCCCACCTGTCCATTGCCATTGGTCTTGTTGGTCAGTTTTACTTTGGCGAACGAAATGGGTTCCTTCATCCAGTGGGCCCCAAAGTTGGGAGATTCGGGGTGTACGTAGATGGGGTTTGAAGGGGGAACCTCCGCTTTGCCACCAGGAACCTGGAAGATGGGATAGTTTTAATATGAAGTATAAGTGAATTATAGAATTTATTGATAGAAATATACTATAGAAGATATTGTTAAGATCTAATAAAATCTTAGATTTGGGTAAATTCTTAAAAGTTTTTAATAGAGGAATTGGAACTTTGTGTTTAACGTAGAGATTAAATGATTCAGATCAGTCGATGGACTTACCCATTCACCGTTGACGTACTTCCACCGATGTGAGTCGATCTGGACGAACTCCAGGAGGACGGTGTACATGGCGGCGGGATCCAGACCCGAGGCACTGATCTTCACCACGGGGAACATGCGCCTGTTTGTGACAACGGAGATCGCAATTAGCAATTATAACAGTTATATAACAGTCGCCATGCATACGTAATAGTGGGCAAACAGTGAGCGCAAATGGTCAACTGCCACAAAGCGTTTACCTTTGCCTTTGGCCCAGACCTAAGTCCCTGAACTCCTAAAACCCCCATCCTAAGTCGGAACCCAAATCTCGAGATGGAATCGGTGGAGAGAGGAGGGTACGGATTGCGTTGTGGGCAAATATTGGAACGCTCATGCGGGCTCTGTTCCACAACAATTAGTACAAGATGGCGGCTGTTGCCGGGCCACGCTAATTAGCACCTGACCAGGCCAGCAGACCCGACTCTCGGCCCGGTTCCAAGTTCTAAACGCGCGTTTCGCACACACACACAGACTCCCCGTACATATGCCCGTAAATTGGTAAATATTTTTAGTTATTTCAACAAATGTTGGCATGTAAATAAACACAGGTATAGACGTATATACATACACTTGGAAAAAATGCACATAAAAGAGGAAGACTAAGTATATTCAAGATCTTATGATGTTATTAGTTTATAAAAAGGGTATATAATCCCTTGATATTACAATAAACATATTCTAACTGGAATCAACATTTTTCTTTAACATTTTATTAAAGATGTTCCTCAATTTCACTGGTTTTTTATTTCAGTGCGTCTGTTTTAAGACCTTTTAATGATATTTTAAAACAGTAGTTTTATAAGAGGAATACGAATTCTTTGGTTATGGATTTTAAAGTAGTCTTACTTTTAAAGGAACCTAAAACCTAAAGAATATATTTGTTCTTTTATTAAATTCAAATTGAATAATTTCGCCATTTCTGAGAATGTATTATTGAGACCGCATGCTTCAAAGGGGGTAATATCTTGTAAAATTTATAACACTACGACTTTTATTTGAGTGTATCGTTTTCAA